TTCTCTGGTGAATGATGGAGCTGCACGGTGCTGGGCTGTGAGCACAGGTCCCACTAGAGGACGTGGGGCCCTCATGCCACCCTCATGGAGTCTGTTTCTGACAGTGTGGTCAGAAACATGCACACCAGTAGCCTGCTGGAGGTCATGTTGTAGGGCTCTGGCAGTGCTCCTCCTGTTCCTCCTCACACAAAGGAGCAGATAGCGGTCCTGCTGCTGGGTTGATGCCCCTGAAGTTTAACTGACTTCCTGTTACACTGTGTCCATTGAGTGTTCAGTTTTTGAGCAGTGTAAATATAAATAAATATGTGTCTCAATATTTGGAGTTTTTTTTTAAGATGAGGGATTAAATACTCTTCAGAGAATTCTCCATATCTTAAACAAAGAAAACTTTAAAAACTAATTGAATTCCTTTTAAAAATGTACTGTTTCAAGATTAAAGAGCTTTCTTACGCACAGAGAACAAGTTCCACTGTAATTAAATTCTTGGTTTGCTGTCCTCTTTGATCGCCATCTATAGAACAGAAACACTTAAAGGAGCAGATTTAGAAGCAGAAGAAGAAGACATACTTTATGAACCGCCCAGGGCAAATTCAGTTTTTTTACTCTGTTGTCATGCAAACAACTATTCTTATTTTCAAGTGATTATACACTAAAGAGAACATGCTTATTATATTATATTCCATCTCTTCCAATATATCCACCCAAATCCTGCACACTGGTCCATCCATCCATTTTAATCCACTTATCCGAGGCCAGGTCTTGGGGGGCAGCAGGCCAAGCAAAGTATTCCAAATGTCCCTCTCCCCAGCAACACTTTCCAGCTCCTCCTGGAGGACCCCAAGGTGTTCCCAGACCAGATGAGATATATAATCCCTCCAGTGTGTTCTGGGTCTGCCCCGGGGCCTCCTACCAGTGGGACGTGCCCAGAACACCTCTAACAGGAGGCGCCCAGGAGGATCCAGATCAGATGTTGAACCACCTCAACTGACCCCTTTTGACGTGAAAGAGCTCCCTCCAAATGTCCAAGCTCCTCCCCCTATCTCTAAGGCTGAGCCCAGACACACTACAGAGGAAACTTATTTCGGCCGCTTGTATCTGCGACCTCATTCTCATGACCATTGGTGAGGGCTGGGACGTAGATGGACCAGTAATTCAAAAGTTTCACCCTTCGGGTCAGCTCACTCTTCACCACGACGGTCCAGAGCAGGGCACGCATCGCGGTCAAGAAGACCTTGATGGAACAGAATATTCGGACTTCAAGCACCTCGCCCTGTATGGGGACACTAGGGCCCTCCCTGGAGCCAGACCTGGATGGGGAGCTTACCAGCCCTGTTCAGGCTCAGCCCCAATAAATAACATGGATCCGTTGCCCTGTGAGCCCTCCACCCACAGGGACAGGAATCAGGGTTCAGTGCATTGTGTGCTGGGCAGCAGGGGCGGGGCCCTGGGCATGCTGATCCCTGGCGTCACAGACAGGCACACTGGACCTTTAGAGTGAAAGTGAAGTTGTCACAAAGCTTATTTGCTTTCTTGCAGAGTTTGATGAGAAGATTGAGACCATGACTGTATGACAGAGGTATCAATACTCTCATCTAACGCTCAGTGACAACATGCTTTATTTTAATTTCTGGTGTCTGTACGGAGCGTCCACCCAGACTGGTCATGTTTCCACACATGATGAGATAATCATCATCATCATTTAACAGAGGATGGCAGTTTGATTATAAATATCAGAGACACTGAAATCAGAGCGTTAAAGAGAGCCGAGGGTGCACACTGCAGAGCACACAGAGAGGAAATCACCTCCAGTCTCACAGGGTGTTTATGCCATACACATAATGTGACAACTGTGACAAGAGCGTCACAGACAGAAAGGCTGCCTGTCGAGTGGAGTGATCACCTGAAATGGGCTCGGACAAAAGAAGCAGATGAAATAGCGTCTCCGTTGTCCCACTGTCTGACAATCACAACGACAGAGAGGCATTTTAATATCAGGGACGTTCAACAAGGAGGTTCACTTTCAGAAACCTGATCCTGTAACAGGGAAATGAACAGTGTGACACTCAGTGACCCGCCGTACGAGGACGAGGCACCTCTGTGGAGCCTAACAGATGTAATATTTTATTGATCCCTGCTGAGAAATTCTCTCTTTGAGGTCAAAGCACAGCGTAAGCTCCAGACGTGAACGGCCCCCCGGAGCTGTGAGGGGAGTCAATGTCAGGCTCAAGGACACTTCAGCAGGATGTATACATGCTGACATGTGGGGGTGTCAACGTCCTCCAGCTGAAGGGCAGAGCACCACGCTCCTTGATGTCAAAATCAATGATACTGATTTATTTGTTGTTAAGACTTTGTTTATTTATTTATTTATTAATTTATGTAGTATTAGCAGACTGGAACACTGACGTGACTGACACACTGTGGCCGCACTGGGAGCAGCTGTGAGTAGCAGCAGTAGCCAGGAGCTGAAAGCACATACACAGGCATGTGCACAGATAGACCCCAGGTGGTGCCTTTTTGCCCTCTGACTACGTAAGTACACTTTTTGCAAGGCATTTTTTTCTATTTCTTTTTAATAATTTTATATTTTAGTTTTTAAATTTGATCCATGGCATCATTTCTCAATTTAAAGTGTCTTGTTTGCTCGACAACTGCATTTGAGTCCAGCCAAGTAACAACAGTGTTTGCCCTGAGTCTCAGCATCGTTTGTCTCTGTTGTGAGATTAAACTACTAAAACATCTCAATACAGCCAGACTCATTTAGGCAATAACCAACCATTAAGTTTAACAATAACTAAACTAGTCTGGCATAAAATCAACTGTCTCCTCCAACTCTCTGCAAGATTCTGGTTCACCAGCTGCCCAGTGTGCGCAGACAAAGAGTCAGGTGTCTTTTTAAACCAAAACTTAAACTGAAAATAAAGTTTATGTCTGTTAAACCAATTATTTAATTAAACCAAAATGACACGCAGTTTGGGACTGCAGTGCGTAAAGAGCGCAGCGTGCATGCGTCTCTTCTCTGGGATTCTTCAAGAATATTTAAAGCTTATTTAGAAAATATTTACATGTCACAAAGCTCACATAATCTCAAACATGACGATGAGTTCACTGTACTCCAGTGTAGTGCTGCAGGGTATACTGGTACCAACGGTAGACCGCGGTACTAAAACACCACGGTACATATGATACCATAATGTTGGAGTACCGTAGTACGTTGTTTTCCAGTGACATGTCAGGTATTAGCTGAACTATTGAGTATCTTTAAGCAGCGAAAGTTATTATTTCTTTTTACTTGTAGGTTAAATTTGTTTATATATGCTACAGTGATGTGTTTTCCACAGAGCTCTATGGTGCGAGCATTTTACTCGCATTTGCGACTAAAAATAGTTTTGTGCGAGCAAAAGAGATCATTCAGGAGCACGCTGTGTGAGTACAGATTTCAACCAGCAGCAGAAACTAAAGGCGAATCCTGCTGGTTGTGGGTTGAACGGGGGTCACAGACAGGAATACAGCAGAGCACTGTGGCCACCACAAGATAACGTGGTTTACCGGCAACCAAGAAGTCCGGCTCCAGGTCCAATAATTTCCTCTTCATTGGTGTCATGACTGCTCAGAAGTACCTGAGCAGCCGAGCCGTGGCGGCACACAGGTATGTGGCATGTCAGAGGAGAAACGAGCCGTTCACATTTCTCTCTTTGTGTCAGGTAACGGTCCACAAACCTCACCGCACTTTAGGGACTGTTCTTTACTTATGAAGGGACTGTTCTTTACTTGTCAGAGGAGGAGGGTGGCTGGTTGATTTTTATTTTATTTATTTATTTTATTTTGATCCCCCCTATGTTCATCACTTATTGATGCTGTTTTTGAAGTATGAATAAGTCAATAAGTAATTTATTCCATTGAAATATCATTGATGTATTATAGAAAAGTGATTTATCTTTTTATAAATGACAAAAGGCACATCTGCCTCATTTTCACTGTGGTATCGTGATACTACTCAGAACCATGATACTTTCACTGGCATCGTACCGTGGGTCCCAATTTTGGTACCGTGACAACACTACTCCAATGGCCTCCACAGTCACCAGGTCTCAGATGTGCTGGAACGGGAGATTCTCATCATGAACCAACTGTGTGATGTCATCATGTCAATATGGACCAAAATCTCTGAGGAATGTTTCCAGCACCTTGTTGAATCTGTGACACCAAGAATTAAAAAGGGGGTCCAACCTGGTACCAGCAAGGTGTCCCTAATAATGTGAGCAGCGAGTGTATGAACAACAGTGAACTCACTTTATTTATAGCAGTAGTAGAAGTATAAGTGTTCTATATTACCCAGCAGCAGGAAGGGTCTAACGACACCAACTTGAAGGTCCAGACTGTTATCCTCTACGAATCCACATCCATCTCCCTCCTCCAGCTCTTCAACCTGCTCCTCCTCCTCTCCTCCATCACCCCTCCTCTCCAGCAGCCTCCTGCCCGTCACCGTGGTAACACGCGTGCACTGTTTCTTCAGGCGGTTCTTGGAGAAGCCCTGGATCTCCTGAGCCAGTGAATGCATCACAGCAGGATTTACAGCTGGGAAAAACAACGAGAGCCTGTTAGAGGAAGATGAAGAGTGTACATCCGGTTATGTGTAGGATCCTTTCTTTAACCTTTTAACTTTATCAGCAGGGTTAGGGTTACAGTGTTGTGACACCCTGAGAGCTGAACAAAGTGTGAGTAACTTTTAGTTGTACAAATTGTAAACTCCTGAAGTGAGAAGTGACAATAGAGTTCATAAGATCTGTAGATAATGTCTGACTCTGAACAAAATCACGGAGTTGATCATTTTAGTTTCCAGCTACATGCACCCACCTGGTCTGAATGTACTGAACTCTACCACAGTCACATCATCATCATCATCATCATCATCATCATCACCGCTGCTTTAAGATAACCTGTTACAGCTGCAGGAGTTCCCACAGGATAAAGAAACAGTGAGCAACACGGCTGCTGCAGCACAGAAGCTTGCACACACACACACACACACACACACACACACACACTCTGACAGCTGAGTCGGAAGCTGCGTCAACAAAGTGATGCGTTCAAGTGTTCACAGTAAAATAGGTCATTATACAGCTACGAGCTCTGCTCAGGGTGTGGCTGATGGTGCTGCTCGTTTTAGTTTGTGTGTTAAAAATATATTTAAAAATTAGACTTTCTTCACACTGACTTGAAAGTTAGAGTGTGCTGAAAAAAATAATGCTGCAACAACACATGCAAACAGAAGACTGAGGGAGAGTGATGCTGTAAATATGCACTCTGACAGAAAAACAATTAATTTATCACTTAAATGTGTGAAATAAATGTGCAAACAAACTGCTCAGCTGTGTAGAAATGTACAAATTAACAGACCCTAAACATAATCTGGTTTACTCTCAAATGAAGAGAAAATAACTTTGATTTGTGTTATTTATGTTGTATTATTTATAATTTATATCTTTATTTATTCATTTTTTTAATCTTTTCATTTTAGTATTTTGTTTTTTCCTGTCTTTTGGCTGACATCCTATTTTTCTTTTTTTTCCTGATCAGTTTCATTCCAATTTACTTATTTATTTTGGGCTTGCCCCCCGTTATTTTAAATTGTTCAAAAAAAAAAGTCAGATAAACACTCAACCAAAAAACCACCATTGGTCAGTTTGTTTGTATGCTTACCACAGAAAAAGAAGTACTCAGGTTTTCTACTAAAGAAAAAAGTAGTAGCCTAATATCACGGTGTAAAAATACTCTTCGTGCAAAATTGTACTCAAGTAAATGTACAAAAGCATTCGCATCAAAATATACTGAAAGTACCAAAAGTAAAAGTACCTCTGCAAACAGAGAGTAGAGCCACTTTCAATTTTTTGCTTAATGTAAACACATGAATATGCTGGAAGTCCCCAAGAATAGCTTCGTAACGAGAATATCAATGAAGAAGTCACTGCAATTTTAAAGAGAGCCGCCCAACTATAAGTTTAATTGATCCAAAACACACATTAAACACACAATAAACATGGCTTAATAGAGACAGTGTCAAACACAAATCAGCTTCACTATAACTCGCAGCATTCACAGACAAACACTTGTCTTTATCTGGACACATTTTCCCCACAAATACAACATGCTAACGTTATTAGCACAAGTCTATGGCATTTTACATTGTATAAATTAGCCTAGCGGCTAGCAGAAAATTCCTCTACTCATATAAAACCAGGGACAACAGCAACATATAACAAAGGTAACGATACAAAATTCAGCTCCATTACAACTCACAAGGTTCACTGACAAAACAACTGTCTTATACTAAACACGTTTTCCAAACAAATACAACACGCTAACATTATTAGCACAAGCCTATGGCATTTTACATTGTATCAATTAGCCTAGCGACTAGCAGAGATTTGAGTGTCATCCCTCTGGCACCAAGGTAGGCAACCTGCGGCCTACCTTGGTGCCAGAGGGCGTAGAGACAGGGCCCTTTAACCCCTCTGTATTGGATCCATGTGGCTTTGACAATAAAATCAGATGGACATTATTAACTGTTTTTCTATTATTTGTTGTTGTAGGCTGAAAGAAGTTCTCAGATTCTCCAGTTATACGAATGCGTAGTTTATACACTGAATTATAAAAAATAGTTTCAACATTTCGTCAGCTAAAACGTGTATCACGTCTGCGGCCTGCCAACTCTAGCGGTGGCTCATCTTGAGGTTCCCTTGCTAAGCTAGCTATGCTAGCTATTTCAAATCAACAAAGCAAAAGTCTCGGAGGGAAGCAGTGAATTAAATAGCGTGTGGACAGATTTGTTTGCTTTCACCGCCACAGCTGCAAAGACAAAGTACCAAGATATCCCCCTGTTGAGTGGCCACCCTGTGGTTAAACTTATTAATGAGAGTGTATTTAGACGGATTAGGAATATTGATGAGCTAATTTAGACCCAATAGGCTGTGCTGCCTTCATTACAAGACTCAAACGTGTTGTGGCTTCAGACAGATTGATTTTTGTTTCGTTTTTTTAAAGTTTTGGTCAAAAATGTCTCTGTTGATGGTAAAGGTTGCTAACTCCTGCTGTAGCATGTTGCAGCCGCCCCCAGTCTCCCCTCCAGTGGGTGCTTGGTGTTGCAGGGTTGTTCACACTATCTAACACTCTTGTAGTGGAGCGTTTCACAGTGTGGTATCAGTACTTTTACTGAAGTGAAGGATCTGAATAGGCTGCTCCTTCCAACACTGGTTATCACACCCATGTTTGATCATTAAAATTAGAGTATTGTATGGTGATCATGAGGCTCTGAGGTGTAGTGTTCACATGAGTGTCCCCTGGAGGACAGCTGATGTGGTCTAATGGGCACAGGTCCAGGGGCCAAAAGGGTCAGGGCCTCCTCTGACCTTCACCTGCAAAATATTACTCAAATTAGCATGTACTGACTTGGAAGAGACACAAAGCGAACACAAGGAGGCACAAAATCATCTCAAAGAGACACAGAACAACCACAAAGTCTGTGTGTCTTGCTCCTACGTAGGAGAGGTGGAGGGTCCTTTTGCACAGCCATGTCAAACTCATATCGAGTTATGATATTTACATGTTAAAAAACAGCATGTTTAAACTCTAACAATATCTCTTGCTTTCAACAGTCTGTGGTTCCCACTTGCCTCAAATCAGCCACCATCATTCCTGTACTCAGGAAGAACACAGTGAACTGCCTGAACGACTACCGCCCAGTGGCTCTCGCACTCATCACCCTCCCCTCCATCAAGTCTGCCATCCCTGCTGACCTTGACCAACATCAGTTTGCATACCGAACTAATAGGTCAACAGAGGATGCTGTTATGATAGCGCTCCACACAGCCCTCACTCACCTGGACCAGAGCAACACCTATGTAAGGATGCTGTTTGTGGATTTCAACTCTGCATTCAACACAGTCATCCCCCAAAAACTGGTCCTGAATCTGAGCAACCTGGGTGGAGGCAGTTCACTGTGCGCATGGATACTGGACTTCCTCAGGAACAGACCTCAGCATGTCAGGAAGGGAGATCGCACTTCCTCCACACTCATCCTGAACACCGGAGCACCACAGGGGTGTGTCCTCAGCCCCCTCCTCTTCTCCCTCTTCTCCCATGACTGCTCCCCCATCCACCCCACAAACACCATCATCAAGTTCGCTGACGACACCACCATTGTAGGACTGATTAGGAACAACGATGAGTCAGCCTCCAGGGAGGAGGTCGAACGCCTGACAGACTGGTGCCTCCATAACAACCTGGACCTCAACACAGCCAAAACCAATTAAATTATTGTTGATTTCAGGAAATCCAAAAAGACTGCATCAAAGCAGAGGAAGTTGAGAGTGGAGAGCTTTAAAGGATAACTTCGGTATTTTTCAGCCTGGGCTCTATTTCCCCATGTATATGTGTGCGTATGATTTATAGGTACAACTTGTTTTAAAATTGGTTCAATATTGAGGGAGGCGGATGCAGCCGGGAGCCGTGAAACGAGCTAAAACAATAACGAGGGGCAAATGCGCTCCGTATAAGTTTGCGCATTAAAAGTGCTTTTTCGCCACTGACTGGTTCAGATCGCCAGTGCTATCTCTGTAAATAGCATACTAAGCGTTTCCCTGACCCTTCACTTGCTCTGGGCTGTGACATCATCTCGCGAGAGCTTTGCTTGTTGCCGGAAGAAAACAGAGGAGCCATGCAGAGCGCCGCTCAGAGTGGCGCTGGATGTCCCGGAGTACAGTTGAGAGTTTTACTGCATAGATTAAAAACAATGGTTCATATTTGTGCTTATCTGAATTGCAAGAACAGGATGTTGCGCAACACCCCGTACAGCTTGCATAGGCTGCCTTTGTCGGACGGCGAGATGCTGAAGTTGTGGCTAGTTGTGCTACAAATGGATGCTAACACTCCTGTCCAGACACTGCGCCTTGCAGACCATCAGGTCTGCAGTGCTCACTTCTCCCAAGAAGACTACTGCCAGCCAAAGAAGAGAAGACATCCAATCCAGAAACACCTCTTCCTCAAGAAAACAGCTGACCCACGAGTAGAGAGAGCTACAGACACAGTGGAGCAAAGCTCTCGTGAGATGACGTCACACAGCCCAGAGGTAAGGGAAACGCTTAGTATGCTATTTACAGAGATAGCACTGCTGATCTGAACCGGTCAGTGGCGAAAAAAAGCACTTTTAATGCACAAACGTATACGGGACGCATTTGCCCCCGTTATCGTTTTAGCTCGTTTCACGGCTGCCGGCTGCATCCGCCTCCCTCAATACTGAACCAATTTTAAAACGAGTTGTACCTATGAATCATACGCACACATACACATGGGGAAATAGGGCCCAGGTTGAAAAATACCGAAGTTATCCTTTAAATTCCTTGGTCTCCACATTTCGGCCAACCTCACCTGGTCTGTCCACACCTCCTGTCAGGTGAGGTTGGCCCACCAGTGACTTTACTTCCTCAGGAAGTTAAAGCAGGCCCACCTCCCCCGCCCACTGCTCAGCACAGACCCCACTCACCCCGGACATTCCCTATCCTCCCCCTCCCCTCTCTTAAAGCCAGAACAGCCAGACTCACCCCACCCATCCCACCCAAAGACTGACAGTGGAACCACACTAAAACACTAAATACTGAGTGCAATACTACATGACGCTGTGAGGTGTGGTATTACCGAGTGTCCCCTGAACGCAGCAGCAGCAGCAGCCAGCCTCGTTGTGAAAACCAGGACGACTCCTCATCCCTGTGACCGAAAAAAAAGCAGGCAGGGAGACGGTGGGGTGGAGTACAGGAAGCTGCTGGCCCCGAATATCTGAACATGGGCGAAATCTAATCACAGCACAAATCACAGCGTCTCTCTTTCTTCCCTTCACGAACCAGAGGCTGCGGAGATTTTCTCATATCTGTTTTTTTCTGGATTGAATCGGAAGATTGAACCGAAACAGCGAGAAGATGTCTCGGGGAGTGATCCAGCCCAGCCAGCAGAAGCTGGCAGAAAAGCTCACCATCCTCAACGACAGAGGCATCGGGATGTTGACCCGTGTTTACAATATCAAAAAGGTTCGCACACACACACATACAGTTGTGTCCTCACTAACCAAACAGAGCTGGATTCATGATATGGATATGATCTGCACCTGCATCCCAAACGAGTGTCAATATGAACGCTGGAGACAGTATGAATGCCTGATTAGCTAGCACTGACTGTTGCTCCATCGTTGACGATAGCTAGATTAATTCACCCCTGATATATTGTATATTAGCTTCTGTCAATAAAACGCTGTGTAAACAGGTAAATATGCACTTACGTTATCCTAAATGTGTCCCCTTAGCATCCCTGGAATCACTGCTAGCCACAAGCTAACGTTAGCTTGCGGTAAAGTGGCCCTTCGGTTTTACGATGCTAACCAACTTTCACTTGGTTTAAAGATAAATGTAGCCACGTACACTGAACAGTATCGTACGTTTATATCAATTAAACTCAAACAGAAACTGTCAGATGAAGCTCCCCTGAGGTGATATCGGCAAACATCCAGGCCTGTGTTGGCGCTAGCAGCTAGCTAACGTCGGCTGGTAATGGCGGCGGCTGCTGGCTAAGCTAACCGCCGCTAAGCTAGCACTCGGGCGTCGTCTTTGCTCCACCACAAACCAAAACACGAAGCACATGAAAACACAGCTGCCCACTGATGCTCACGGTCATTATGTAAAACCAGACAGGTGTGTATGACTTATTGTGCTCTACACCCAAGGGTGCAGCTAGCTACATTTAGCTTGTTGTACTAATGCAAGATAATGACACGAAATTGACAAGCAGAGGCTGCTTATGATCGATTAACCTGTCGTTTACTCGATTAATCATGATAATAGACAGTCAGCAAATATCAGCAAATACTCATCACAACACCAGAATCCAGAAGGATGACTGAAACTGTTTACTTTACCTGACAAACCTTGAAAAACACAAATAATTCAGTGTATTATATGAAAATATAACATCAACACCAGGGCTGCAACGATTAGTCGACTAATTGATGACCAATCAACTATTAAAATAATTGTTGACTATTTTAGTCACCGACTAATCGGTTTGAGTCCTTTTTCATATAAAAGTACTATAAAAGTACCCAAATACTCTTGTTGCAGCTTGTTACGTTCAGATATTGTCAGCTTCACACTCTCCCATGAAGGTGAACTCAAACCCTTTGGCGTGAGTACGAAACAAGACATTAGATGACATCATTTTGGGGTTTGGGAGAGACAGACCGACATTTTTCAACATTTTAACACATTTTTCGATAAAATGATTAGTCGACTAATCAAAGAAATAAACGACAGATTAGTCGACAGTGAAAATAACCGTTAATTGCAGCCCTAATCAACACAGAAGGTCAAGCAGCTCTTATCAGTTGTGTGCCCTGACTTTATTTATTTAACTTTATATTTATGTAATAGTTAATTGATCAATTTACTTATTGTTATAGCACAGACATAGGGTTGCAATACGATAACCCTGTTTCTCAGAAAAGTCTTATCATCAGTCAGAATGAGACTTAAAGAAATGAAAACAGAACAAATGTTTTATTACTAGAATTGAAACTTGACACCATTTTGTAAAAGGAAATGTGTATAAAAAGTCTTCCATTTGAAAATAATTAAAGTAAAGGAGAGATTCTCTGTTAAGCACAGACATATAGGGCTGCAATGGTATGAGATTTTCACAGTATGACAGTCATCTCAGAAAATGTCACAAATATTTGATTACTATAATTGATCAGTTTATTAATTGTTTTAGCACAGATATACAGGGTTGCAACGGTGTGAGATTTTTACTGTAAGATAACAGTCTTAAAACTCTTATCAGTCAGAATGAGCCTTAAAGGAATGAAAACAGAAGGGTTATTGTTTGTTCAACAAACATTTTATTACTGTAATTTAAACTTGTAACCATTTTGTAAAAGGAAATATTTATAAAAAGTCTCCCCTTTGAAAGTAACTAAAATTCAGGGGAGTTTCTGCGTCCACTTGCCCTTGAGAGAAAAAAAAAAGTAGATGAGCAAATGTGCACTGTATGATAACTGTCAACTTTTATGTCACGGTATACCTTAAAATCAGAATATCGCTGCAACCCTATATTTGTGTGCCCTAGCTTTATCTAGCAGGTGTTTTGCTCCCTTGATGTGGAATCCATGTAACAGTTAATTGATCAGTTTATTAATTGTTTTAGCACAGATATACAGGGTTGCAACGGTGTGAGAGTTTCACAGTATGATAACCGTCTCAGAAAATATCACAGCATTACAGAATTTATATTATTACCAGTCAGAAGGACCCTTCAAGGAATGAAAATGGAAGTTTTATTTTAACGTTTTATTACTTTAATTGAAACTTGAAACTGTTGTGTTTAAAGGAAGTTTGTGTAAAAGTCTCTCTTTGGAAATAACTAAAATAAAGGGAGGATTCAAAGTCCAGTTGCTTGATATTTTTCAGTAGGACAACTGTCAACTTTTATATCAGGGTGTACCTTAAAACCGGCTGCAACCCTACAGACATATAGTGTTTTCATATATTTTAAGCCCCCCTCAATAACATTTATACGACATCTGCAGCTTCAGCATGCAGTTACAGTGCAGGAGACACAGGAATATAAAACATAACACATGTATTCATGTTACTGACTCTCGACTGTGTTGCTACACCAATGGTTTGTGTGGGAGGAAAAGAGTAGTGGGTCTGTGTGTGGGACGAGCCTTTGTGCCTGGGTGTGTATGATGAATAAAAAAAAAGACGGGAGAGAGAAAGAGGTCAGTCATGTTCTGACAGAAAGTTTAGTGCAGAGTAGAAGTTAAGCTGTCTGAAAGCCCATACTGTTTCCCTTTACTGACACAGTCACTCCCAAAGTAACAGGATTTATTTTGGTGAGAAAATTTAATTCTCAACTTAAACGTGAGTTTATAAATAATCAGAAGTTACAATATTGTGTAATGCAACCTTTATATGGTGAACACGTCTGTGTTTTTACTCTCTGTGTGAGGTATAGGACAGTATGAGCAGTCAGACACACTCACTGAGATTTTGCTGATTACTCTTCTTAGTACGCCCTTCCTTTCCTCCCTCCTTCCTTCCTTTTTCTTTCTGTCTGTCCCATCATCTTCATATCTCTCCTGATCTGCCTCACCACAAGGCTTCTGAATCTCCATCCAGAAATGCTCTTCATGTGTTATTTATGCTTTCTTTTACCTTGTGATATGAGAGAAACTCTCCAGCATCCATTAACAACTGCATCCCAAAGCTAGAAATGAAAGAGCCGGGACAATAATTTGTGCTGCAGTCACAGAGGTGCTCCTCCTGGACCCTCACTGGCAATTTGGACACCAGTTTAATCTTTTTATTTATGAAATTCCCCCAGATATTCCCAGCTGAAGTCGTCACAGAGTTGTCTCTGATTTATCGTCAGCGGTGTAGCTTAATTAAGTTTCTTAATGAAAACACAGGTGACGGACTGGGTTGTCTTGTTTCTACCTTTGGGAGAAAGTAATCCATGCTCACTAACAGTAATATTATCATCTAAAATCACAGCAATGTTCTTTTCCATTTTAAGCATATTCACTCATTTACACACCATCGACTAGCTGCAGAAACCTTAAAATCTGCTCCTTAAATTTTCTGTAACAGACACCTTAATTAATCTTGGCTGAGTGGCATTAAAGTTTTTGTTTGCTGTGCTTATCTTTCAGCCAGTGGACCCTCTAACATCATATTTTGTCACAGCGCTTACAGGGTATTTATTTTCCTTAACCTTGCTTATACTCAGGTAACCCCCATCGTCTCCCAAGCTAGTGTGCAGTTAGCTAAACAACACACATTGTCAAAGTTATCAGTCAAAAAGGAGTGAGGAGTAAAGTTACACACGGTGAAATATTTTTAGCAACTAGACTTAGACTACCAGCAGTGCAGCGTACTGTAGCACCAGATGTTTCCACAGGATGGAGGCAACAGGAACCTCTCTTGTAAAGCTTCATGCCTGGTTCAGACCACACGATATCAGCCTGATTATAGCCTGACACAGTGTGACAGATCGTGGACGTCAAAGAGTGTCATGCGTAATAATCCATCGTTTCATCTCATGTAGTGTGTCATAGTAGACGACAACTGACACTATGTCCCGACAGAAAGTCTAGCATGTTTGATTTTCTATTTGTCTTCCACGACTGCTCCCGTCACAGCCGTCACTTTGACCAATAGGAACACAGAGCGATCTGCTGCCATGGAAACTGCAGGACAACAGCAGCCCGTCCCTGTAGGGACGTTAGCACACAGAGTAAAAAGGAAACAGCAGAGGCACTTTATCAACCCGCTGAGTACTGCCATTAGCATCAAGCTAGCAAAGAATGTTCTTTCTTCATAATGGAGGATATAAAGGAATCAAACTCACAGATAGTGTCTGGGCCTTTACTCAGCACAGCCAGATTAGACTACATTAGAAATGGACATTTATTTTCAGACATAGGCCTCTATTTATTATTCCCTCTGTATGTTTATATTTTTATTTTTAATCCCTTCCTGTTTGTCTGTTAAATTTTAGGCATTGCTCAACACTTCCTGTATCTGTTTCAAATTAAAAGCCCCTTATAACCTCGGCTGAGAGAATCCTTTCAATTTCTAAAAAGGCTTTTATTGTGAAACATTTGCAGGAACTTGTTGCGGAGGGATTCAGTGACTTCAAATGTAGCTCCGCACATCTGGTGACTCATAGTATGTTCCTACACTAACAGTTCAGCTGCGACATGAACAGACACAGTGACTGAAATAATAATAATAATAATAATAATAAAAATAGGACAAGAATAATCTGATGACATCACACGTTGTGAAAGACGATCAGGGATCATTGGTCGTGGACCAACGTGTAGTGTCATGTCTGTCGGCCAAAACATGGCACGATTTTATGACTCAACAATCACATTATGTGACATAGTGACTGTTGGAACGGACACAAATGTTGTGTAGTCTGAACCTGGCATTAAGAAAATATTTTAATATTAAAACAGCATGAAAGAGATTTTAGGGTGGAGTTTTTTCTGCTGCGTTAAGTCAGTTTTAAATGATTTAAAAAATACCAGTAAGTGAAATGAACACCACTCTGACACAGTTTTAGGGGGATTTTAAAACTTCAAATAAATTTTATCTTCACTTTAAAAAATTATTTTTCCCTGTCAGTTTAAATAAAGGAGATTTATTTGTGTTTGCTGGACACTCAGCAGGTCTTATTGAAGAGGACATTACCTTCCCCACCTCTTCATGTACAACCAGTCTCCACTGTTTGCCTTTTATTTCCAGTACTGATAGTTTTGTTTTTTGATGATGCAGTGGTTTGTGTGAGATCAGGCTTTTCTTCTTCTGCTGGCTGTGTGGTGCCAACATTTCCTACCGCGTCATGCTGCACACTTAACAGCAGCTGTTTTCTGATCAACAAAATCTGCTCGCCTTTTTTGTTGCCCAGAATACGCTGGAAAGTGAAGCCTGGTAATAGGGTTGCTCTACGGTGGCTCAGAGGGGACAGTAGCTGCAGTCACACATGAATAATTATCTACAGGGACAAAGAATTACAGGTTGACATTTAATGAAGGGCAGCCCTGATTACTTAGGGGCATTTTACCCCTCATTTTTAATTTTAAGGGCATTTTTATGAGCTGTTAAAGGCAAGTTGCTGAAGACCTCCATAAATTTCTCACGGTCTGAATGGCACGTTCCCCCAGGAAAAATGCAGTAAAATTAAATTTGATCGGACTGTTGGCACATTTAATATTATTATTTATTCTATTTAATGTGAAGAGACAAAAGTTGGAGTGACCGGGGAAACAAATGTGCAGTCACGCCATCGAAGGCTGTGAGGCCGCAGCTTTTCTTTGAAAGTAAAGACTTCACCAGGTGCTGCTCTTTGGTTGAATTTGCTCCATCAGTGGATTCACCTGTTGGAGTGTTTGGTTTGGATGAAAACCTGCAGACTCTCACCCCTCCATGGCGTTACTGCATATCTGTGGTTTAGATGGAAGCACGTTTCTGAATGTGTGTTGTGGCAGAAATGTTTGCCGTGGGATTCCCTTTTCTCAGCGGTGCTCAATCAAGCACTGTGACTACGCATAAATGCGTACAAAAAATACAGAGGAATCTCCGTTATGTAATATGCACTATTGCAAAAACACAGTGAATCTGTTGGTTTAAAGCAGAGTGGGTTCATTACTGGAGAAGTCAATATTGAAAAGGGATCAAATGAGATATTTATATCCCTAATTTGCCACATGAGATGAATTTATGTGGGTAAATATGACTGGAGTGTTAATAACTCAGCCATTTTGTCTTTCTGTAGTTTTTCTCTTTTTGGTCCAAAGACAAAACCCAACAGATTAGAAAGCAGAAAGATCAACAATGTGCCAGCAGGGGTGCACGATATTGGATTCTTTGCTGATATCCGACATGCTGATATATAACAACTCATTTGGCTGATAACCCATACCGATATCGATATATCCACTTTTACCCCACCTAATTTTAGTGATCATCAAGTCTCTTCTGTCGTGGAATTAACATCATATTATACATGCATACTGTAATCATGACGCCCACCGGCAGATGGAGACATGACGAACTTTTCAATGTATGTAATATTCATTCATTGTAATTGTAATTCATTGGATACTGGCCGATACTGATGACGTGCCGATATTATTGTGCATCCCTAATGTGTAGTTAATCATGTGTTTTAAGTTAACGCATCACTAGAATCATTTAAAGTTAAACTCGTAACAAAACACTCGGCCGCTCAGAAGCAATAGAAGTGGCCAACAGCATTTTTTAGTCACTTGGTTTGATCTGAATCACGAGTCACGACATTGTGTAAACCAGAAAGTCCAATATTATTATACTTACACAAATATATTCTTCCTAGAAAACAATTAGAGAGATCGCTTTAACTGCCTCATTATGAGTTGTAATCACCCAGACGGGTCTGAGTCTTTGATGCTAAGATTTATCACCTAACTGAACAATGAAGCAACGTGATGGAAATAAGGAAGCACCAAAGACATTTTTATTCCCCCGATATGAAATCTATCCCTGAACACTTGCGCTGAAAACACACCGGCGCCGCCACATTGTGTCAAGTGCCACCCCTGGCTAGGGCTGCAATGATTCGTCGACTAATGGATGACTAATCAACAATTAAAATAGAAAAGTACTATAAAAGTACCCAAATACTCTTGTTGCAGCTTCTTACGTTCAGATATTGGCAGCTTTACACACTCTCCCATGATGGTGAACTCAAACCTTTTGGCGTGAGTATGAAACAAGACATTAGATGACATCGTTTTGGGGTTTGGGAGAGACAGGCCGACATTTTTACACATTTTTACACATTTTTCTGTAAAATGATTAGTCGACTAATTGAAGGAATAATCAACAGATTAGTCGACAGTGAAAATAACCGTTAGTGGCAGCCCTACCCCTGGTACACACTGGACGCGTCACGGTGCAGCTCGTCAACAGACGACCACGCAAAGTTATTGTAACTGAAACATCTGTGCTTCCTCCTCCTCTGCGTTAGCTTAAAATCATGTGTGTACAGCCACTAATTAAGCTTGATGTCTCACCTGAAGAGCCGATCTCCAGAGCTGTTACTCGCCAGGCGATATCTTTTAAGCTATTGTCTTTATAACGACGGGACTGTTGGTCGTTTAGCTCGGGACATTTCTCGACCTCAACAAGAAGTCTCTCCTCATCCATTCTTCGTCACACACGAGACACAGCAACAGCTGCAGAGTTCTCTTTATACATCCATGGTGAGGAGAGGAGTCCAGCTGCTATAGGAGCAGAGAAAAAGAGCTGCTACGGAAGCTGGTGTGTACAAGCAATTTATTCTGGGGGCGGTGAGGCTGGAAACAGGACAGTGGAGTGAAGTGCCTAGCCACCACCGGTGTATGGTTGTGCATTGAAATAATATGGGCGTTGCAATTCCGAGTTCTTAAATTAATAAAATAATATTTTTTTTACTAAAACGTCATGTTGCCAAGAATAATGTTATCGCAAAAATACCCTAAATATAGTGATTTTATTTCAGGGTCATATTGCCTGGCCCTGTCATTCCATCTGGAAAGAATGTTCTCATATGAGGCAGTTGTGTTTTGTTTGTATGGAAGCACAAAATGAAAGAAGAAGATAATCAAATGTGATGAACTGCAATACGATTTTAAACCATTTCTCAAGTGACATTACAGAACAGTTACTGTATTGTGATATATACCATAACCTTGATGTACAATTATGATGTCATAGAATATTTCTGCCATATCGCCCACGCTGTGCAACCAAACTCCTCTCAAAGTGCCATCGCAGTCCTCGTGAGATACAGCACAGTATAAATAAATGACTCCTGTTGCCATATGTCCATATCAATATGACATGATAGGTTCAAACATGCATCAGAGCATCACCAGCAATGAAGCGCCTCGTGCTTCAGCGGCAGGGGAAATCTGCATTGTCAGTTACTAAGCAACAGCCACGGAGCAGAAAAGTGGAGCAAATATTGCAGCCAGTGAAAACTGCAGGGGCCAAACTTTGTCTTCACACTGTTCTGTATGAGACAGCTGACAGCTGGAGTGTCAGCCATATTATTTCAGCCTTTCCACACACTCTTAAAATGGATGTGTTATTCTCAATGAGTGTGTAGGCGGGGATACTACACTTTGTGTTACTTTGAAGACAGCGTGCGTTAGAACAAGTGCAAATATGATCACATGTCGGCGCAGCATGTGCTGTGTTCTATGTGTTGTGTTGAAAAGAAATGCCAGACCGGCTGTCCTTAACTGAACTCTCAGATATGCAGAAAACACCTGTATGAGAGCAGCTGTTTTAAGACATGCATGCATGTGTGTGTGTGTGTGTGTGTGTGTGTGAGAGAGAGAGAGAGTGTGTGTAGACCAGTGATCCAGCAGTTTGTCTGGGTGGGCTCTTTGTTTTGATTTCTTCTCTTCTTCTCTCCGTTCCAATGCTTCCCCCCTCTCCTATGCAGCAAGGACAAGTTTGGAAGGTTTGCAAAGTTTATCACCTTCCACTGATGAAACCCCACCCCCCCTTCACCCTTCCTCACCTCCCTCCCTTCCTCCCCTACTCGTCCTCCTCCTGCTCCTGGCTACCTGTACTGATCTGTTGGTCCTCTCCTTTGTCCCTCACTCCTCTTCATGTTTGAATCTGTAACGCTGAGACTAAGGCTGGGCTCCATTCACCAACCCCAAATGGAAATTCAGTGTGTTCTTCATTTGCTTATGAGACAGCTTTTACATGCAAATTGTTTTTTTCTGTAGCGCAGATACTTTACCAGTTTACTAGTCTGCTAACAGCCAAAACTAGACTTTACTCTCTGTTTTTGTGAATACCAGAAATGTGTCACAATTAAGTCACATGACTGCGGCATTTAAATATGCTGATTTGATCTATATGTGGCTGCAGTGTGACTCAGAGCTCCCAGAGACAGTTCAATGTTCAATCTGATGATCACAAATATGGAACATATTTATTTAAAATGTATGTCTACTATGATGAATCATAACAATGATATATATGGATGTTATATATTGTTTATCGGTTTATCAGTAGGGGTGTAACGACTCACAGATTTCACGGTTTGGTACAGCGAAAAAAGTAGAAATGCCAAAGAAATTTCCTTGATTTTTAAATGTATAAAAATTAAAAAATTAAGATATATTGGGCTTTTTTTGTTGTTGTTGTTGTATAAGGGGTATAATGGGCCCGTTAACCTACCGTACTATAAAAAACACTAGGTTGCTTTTGACATCAGAGCGGATAATATCTGTCTTTTCTGTCGCCCACTGGGAGTCAGCGGCAAGTTGGTACGTCGCATGAGCTCTCTGAGCTTTTTCAGTCTGATTAATACATGAATAATCTCCATTAAATGCCACAGCCGTATAAACACAAGCTAAACAGCCGTCACTAACGTACCTTTGTCTTCACACAACTATGGTTAAATGTGATAAGACCAAAGGACTGGACGGAGGCCATCATCAAAAATGCTCACATGTGCAGCGCACACTTCATATCAGGTTAGGGAAAAAGTATTTCCTGTTGTAGGGATGAATAAGGTTATGTGCATTAAGGGTTATCATGTCCACCTCATCAGAAACTGGGGAGGGATTAAGAGGAATATTGGATTTCTCTGCAACGCTAACTTTTTAGCACATTAGCTAACGTTAGCTTCCATAGCAAAACAAACAAGTGTGGTCCTCCTTTGTAAGATTGGCTTCCTGTGACATCATCCATCCACTGAGTGAGAGCATACGGGTCGGCCAGTCTGGTCCCGTTGGTCAGTGTTTACTTATTCAAGTAACACTGGCGGTCCCGGAGAGTGAGTGACCTGACATGGTGCGTTGGTAAATTCAGTCTGATGCTCTACACTAAAATGAGAGCCCTGTTGGTGGAAGAAACGCAGCGTTATATTTCTACATGAATGAACCAACGGTTGATTAAGATAGAAATACATTACTAGCATTACTGGTTTTTTAATGCGTACCGAACTGAAAGCCTCGTGCCAAACAGTTCATTGTGAACACGTGTGTTGTTACACCCCTATCTTTTTAGTAGCTACCAGCTAATCATCACTTAACCACTCATATAAATGTCTTTGAAGAAAGTCTTCTTCATAAATTAACTGATTTGGCAGTTGATTCATCATCTACGGCTGCATCATGCCAACAAGCTCCTTTATAGATGCAGGTTTAATCCTAAAAAGTATTTTTGTGAATTTGTTTCCAAGCTCCAAGTTCAGTAGTGCTGACAAATGCAGAAGGATGAGTGAAGATCATCCTCCTGCCAGCAGGCAGTCCAGGCAGTCAGCCAGCTCTCAGTTGTAGTGGTTCTCTTGTGGTTCTGTTCCTAATCACGTGAAGCCATCCATTCTTTGGAGCTCTTTAGTTTTTTCTTTCTGCGTCAGTTAATCCCTCCATGTGAAAATGAGAAAGCTCACACTGTGAGGAACGATACACAGAAACTAATTCATCTCAGCGAGGACAAGTATGTTTCTGCGTGGTTTACGGAGACTCTGAAGGATCACTATAAAGGTGCCATGGGGTGTTGGAATATTTCATCCAGTAATGAGTAGCCTTAATTAGTTTTCAGATGTAGGTTTTCTCTGGCCCAGCTCTACCCAGTCCAGGGTCCCCTGCCATATGTTTCAATGTGGGGACCCTTTGAGAAGCTCAGCTGTTAATTGCTGCCCGGAGTGGAGAAACGATGGTGGAGGCGAGACTAAGGTCTGTTCTGGTATCCAGGCAACAGTTCCCTTACTCCTCCCTGACCACTACTGATTCTCAGCTTATTCCCATGCCCCTTCCCTTCATTCACTGCGTCCTTCCTTCCATCCATCCTTCCATCAGCCCCCACCCCACCCAAAACCCAGCCAGCCAGCTTATTGCACTAGCCACCACCAGCACTAATGGGCAATGCCACGCCATGTAAATGACAGAAAATGATCAGTCAATCTTCATGCTTTTGTCCTGTGATGCCAAGCAGCCACACATCCAATTCTCACAGTAAAGTAATTTAGTGAGTAATGTAGTTGAAGCTAAATCTACTGGTGATGCTGCAATGGTGTGGCTATATCTGCGAAAAATAAGATCTCCAGTACATGTTAGTGTAATAGATCCAAGGTTTTGCATGTTTTAGCCCATTAATTACAACTCATGTAACTTACTGTACATTACTGCCAACCATTATCTACAGCATAGGTGTTCACATTAAGTGTTTGTGAATGTGTTTTATCTCTTTGTCAAAATCACGTCACTGTCAACCGTGAGGCAGTTCTGAGATCAGACAGTGATGGCAACTATTCATTTTGTTGCCTACAAGTGACTGTGGGAAATTCGAGCCCAACATGAAGAGTCAGCTGCTGTACAGCATCACCTCCACAAACTGTATCATCAGAAAATCAAACCAGATGATCAGAATAATGTGAGTTTTGGTAGTTTCTTGTAGGGGTGGGCGATGAATCGAATGTAGTTGGTGTATTGCGGCTTGTTCCACGTGGGATGATAAAATGACTACCACGAACATCGATTTTAAATTGCAACGTCTTTATTTATTAAACCACCAGTGTAAGATTCACTTTGGCATTTCAGTTCTCTCGCTGTCTCCTTCTGACACACACACACACACACACCAAGAAAGACTCACAGATATGATTCGTCACACTCCTCCACCCATCCAGGCATCTCTCTCCTGGGCAACAGTGTGTGAGCAGGCGGAGCTTTTGTCTAATCTGCAGGGCTCCAAACCGCTACTATACAGTTGGATTTGCAACCATGGAGCACCAGTGCAACTTGCAAATACTAGTAATATATAAACTGGAGAGCTGTTAGTTTGTTACTTGTTTAAAGTGAGTACATTTCTATATTTAACAGCACCGCGTTAACAGTTTAACTTATTAGTGTTAGAGTTCAACATTAGTGTGAGCAGATGGAGCATTTATCTAATCTGCAGGGCTCCAGACCACTTAAGTCACACTTTGCAACCATGGAGCACCAGTGCAACTTGCAAATACTAAATACTATACTATAATATATGAACTGGCGAGCTGTTAGTGTGTTTCCTGCTTACAGTGAATACATCATCACATTTAACGACATCGCGGTAACAGTTAAACTTAATGATTTCAAATGTAGTGTGAGCAGGTGGACCATATGTCTTGGTACCTGCAGGGTTCCAGACCATGAAGTCACATTTTGTGACCATGGAGCACCAGTTCAGTTTGCAAATACAATTAATATATGAACTGAAGAGCTGTTAGTGTGTTTCCTGCTTACAGTGAATAAATCTTTGTGTTTAATGGCACCGTGGTAACAGTTTAATTTATTAAGTCCAACAGTAGTGGAGAGCAGACGGAATGTTTATCTTTCTACCTGCAAGGTCCCAGACTGCGAATGTTACGTCACATTTTGCAACCATGGAGCACCAGCGCAACTTGCAAGTACTGTTAATATATGAACTGGAGAGCTGTTAGTTTGTTTCTTCTTTACGTTTAACGGCACCGCGGTAACAGTTTAACGTTCTGCTAACTGCTCACATCTAACTGTTGATTAAAACAACATCATCACCTCTGGCTGGGACGAGCCAGATGCTTCAAAATAAAAGCACCACTTTTTTTTTTATAACAGTACTTTATTTAACTTTATTACAACAGTGGCTTCTCAGATACTTTATTGTAACTGTAGTTCATTTGATAATTTTGTATTTTAGTAGACTGCAGTAGTTTAGAGGAGATTTCAAAATATCAAGATATATATCGTGTACGGTGATACAGCGTAAAAATATTGCGATACTGTTTTTGAGCCTTATCGCCCAGTCCCACTTTCTTGCATTAGAAAAGGTTGCTGTCTTGGATGTTGGAGCTTCCTACAATCATTTGAACACACCAACAAGTAAGTAAATGAATCAGTTAAGTTTATGTGCAGAGTACCTTTCTAGAGCAAGTATTATAAATTTAAAAACAACAGCATAAGATCAACAAGAAATCATCATAAAGTTTTCAGGCTTTACTGTTAAAAGTTGTGCAGCAGCCTGAAAGTCTAAAGCTGTTCTGAGTTTGGGCTAAAACATGGGAAACACTTGTACAGTCCTTTTAGTCAGCATACCAATGTTATGTGATAACCGGACAGTGTTTTTTATCCTGCAGTTCCCCGGCGTGAGTCAAAGGGTAACTACATTTTTAGTGGCCAACGTAGAGACTAGTCTGTTGTGTAGGGTGAGGCTAGTGGTGTGTTGTCATCAGAAGAGCACTGTGTTAGCAAAAACAACAAGGCTTGTGCTTTTGCAACTGCATGGATTTAACAGTCACATCTTGATTCCTTGCTTCTCATTTTACATAGTTAAAATTCAGTCTGTCTCTCACACACCTAAACAGATTTTCTCGGGCCCGTAGCTGTTGAGTAAACACACAGCGGCGGAGATTTTAAGCTTCGACGGCTGTTGAAATTGGAAATCTGGTCAGGTGTGAGAGAGGTGGGAGCAAGGAAGCAAGCTGAGACTTGAGGTCCAGTCTGTGTCATTGATGGGTTTTGAAATCATGTTGGTGTTGTATGTTTTTCTGTGTCAACCCTCCCTCTCCCAAGTGTCCAAGTGTTCTGTGTGCGAGACCCTGCAGTAGTGGGTGTGTTTCAGACCCAGCTCTACCAGAGCTCAGCATGCCTGTTTCTGGTGTCATAGTGCGTTCACTAGCTTCAGCAACAGACTGAACACACAAACTGAACTGGGGTTTGGCGAGGTAGCATGATACATGTTGTGTAGGTGACGTTGCTCGCAGGGTAGGCTGTCCTTGCTTTTTTTTTTTTAACCTGCCGAATAATTCTTCTAGTGAATTAAACCTATTTTACACCTGCACCATTTTGCATCCCGTGTTGAAATATAGCAGATGTAAAGTGGCAGCAGATGTGTTTCCTCTTTAACTTGCAGTTAAACTGGCGAAAGCCGCAGCAGTGGCTCTGATATGAATTTGTAGTGGTTAATCTTTAAATTTAAAGGGCGGGAGAAAGGCGCTTTTTTATTTTTTATTTATTTATTTTTTTGCTGCACTGATCTCTGAGGGTCGAGGGTTTTCAAGTCACCAACCACACCCATCGTCAGTCGTTGGGACCACGATGCAAACTGTGACTGCTGTGAAATACTTGATAAGTCTAAATCTCCACTGCTACATGTGAACAAAAGCAGAGTTTTCAGGAGGCGTCTCATCGTGTTTTGATACCTGGGTTGTCAGTTACCTTCTGTGCTTGTGTGAACTAGCATGTGTTGCTGTTTTGCGGTTTCATTTTGTACTGGCCTGATGCTGGAAACGTTTCCGCGCCATGCAAACTGAAATCCAGGTTCCCGGTTGTGGTGCTGTTAGCGTTGACATGTTACTGCAGGTACAAACATTACATTTAAAGCATAGCATTTTGTGTTGTAGTTTTTTATTTTGGTAACTTCATGTTACTTTTTATGGCTTTTCTAAATGTGTGCTTCCACTTTCTAAACGTAAAACCTTAAACCATGAGGAACTGAATCCTCAGAACGGTCACTGACCTCTTCTAGGATTGTTCCTCTGTGTTGGCAGCCAACAGACTTTATGCATTCACTCTGTTTATGGCACATGCATGGACCACATCTTCCTCACCATTCACGACTACACTTCCCATGATGCATGAGCGCTGTTGCTTCCTGCCAGAGCCAGGGCAATCAGGCAGATGCTTAGAGAAATAGATGAGAATATATGGCGTATAAGAATAAGGCAGCTCTGCAGGTGTAGTGGAATAATTTAAGTACGGCTCTCTCTCTCTGACCACTTATCTGTCTCTCTTTCTTAAATCATTTCTCCGTGTGCCCCCTTTACTTCAACTCTCCCTCTTTCCCTTTCTCTTCCTTTTTTTCCTCTTCTGTTTCATTCAACCCCTTCTTCATTTTACCCGTCCATCACTCTGCCCGTCATGCAGTGGTACTAACCGGTGATGGCACAGAGACACTTAAGTGTGAAACTGAAACCCTCTCATTACCTGGGACTCTCTCAGTGGTTCTCAGCCTCCTGTGTGCTGTGATAACTTTTGGCAAAGCGTAACTTGTGACGGCAGGAGAGGCTGCCATTTCTGGATGATCGCAATGACGCTAAATTATTAGAAGCTCAAATTTGTTTACTCCAGACCTGTGATCATAACGAGGGCCAGCAAACGTGCAGAGCAAGTGTTTGTATTTTAAATTTCAGGGCAGAGCTCCCTGACGTCTCTCCGCAGCTCAGCAGGTGAGAACCACTGATCAATTCAGGCTCTTGTTCAGTCTTTTACAACAGTTGAAGCTGGTTTATCCAAACATGAAAACCACAGACTTCCAAACTTAATTCAGCAAAGTGTAAATCCACCCTGTTGATAGTTTTTAATCTCCTTGTTGACGTGCATCTTAATGTTTAATCAGACTGCACAGGTCACCTGGCAATCAAGTTTGCGTGTGTTCGTTTTCATGTTTTGAACATGCCTCTGGTCCGAAACTTCACTAAATGTCAGTGATGTCAATATTTCATCCACCTGAACCCCCTCTCACATCCCGGGCCGGGATAAACCAGTTTTCACTCTGAGCACTAAATGTTCCCCTGGTGATGACCACACATCTAACATGCCTGACCATGAGGAAAGAAAATGTTAGATCCATAGAAATAACAGTCATAAATGCTGAAATGTAAGCAGTGCAGTGCATACCATGTTTTTTGTTGTGTACCTTCTCACGTCTTCCTCTCCTCTCCCTCCAGGCATGTGGCGATCCCAAGGCGAAGCCCTCCTATCTCGTTGATAAGAACTTGGAGTCTGCGGTTAAATTTATTGTCAGGAAGTTTCCTGCTGTGGAGACGCGGAATAATAACGTGAGTGCAGCTGCATGTGCGTCTGCCCTGTGTTTTTATGTCGTGAAGAGGAAGAGGATGAAAGGATGTCTGCACTGGTGTGATTGATTTAGTTTCACATGCTTATCTTCAATTTTTTAATCTAGACTGGAAGTTTATTTTTTCCGCATCTAGTACTTTAAAAAAAAGTTGCCTTTGAATCTGAGTTCAGCAGATCTGGGAAATGTATAGAAAAATCTGCTGTACTAAATTCCTGATATTTTAATGTAGCAAATTATGCAATATTACTAAAGATTAATTATCAATCACAATATCCATTATTATTTAATTAAGTGATTATTCATGTACTCTTTTAATCGTCACAAATGATCGATGTATCGATTCGTGGATGCCAAGTATAGATTTTTAAAGAATATATAAATTATTAAAATTGCAATTGAATTAAACTTTTGGTAACCTACTATAATAAAAAAGAAATATTGTATTTTTCAGTCCCCTACATACATTTTGCTGCAATTAAAATGAAATGAGATGAACAGACTTTGCAAAACTTGTTAGATAAAACAGACCTTTTTTTTCTCTGGGGATATAATTTGAGAAAACGTATCGTTCTATAAACCATCGCAAAACTGCAAACATTTTATTAGTATTGTGATGATATCGTATCGATGGGTGATTCTAACTGAAACACTGAATTTCTGAAACACTGAGAAAACAAAGCAACTTCTCTTTTGTGAAGTTCACACTTGCAAGTGTTTAAGTATTTGACTTTATAGATAACTATGATCAAAACTGAGTCGAGTTCCTTTTTTGATTCAACAGAAGTTTTAATTACTGATCAAATCAGCACCAGGAGACACCCAGAAATATTAAGTGACAACATGAGTTTGCTCACTCTAATTGTTTGGATTGATTTTTGCTGCAAATTCACTTTTATTTTCATATGCAGTGTTTAGTCAATACGATACACAATACGATATTATCAAAATAATCAAGTCACAATACAATATTATTGTGATTTTAAATATATTGCGATATATTACTTTTTCAACTGTCAATTATGCCCTCAAAGGAAAACTTTGTCAACATCTTTTTTTATGATGAAGTTTTCAGTTTGTTTATCTCGCTTCAGCAAAATGTATCTAGTGGACTGAAAAAGCAATTGATTATATTATTCTAATAGGCTACCTAAAGTTGTTTTTGCCATATTAATATTTTCTATAATAAATCAATACTTGACACTGTATGACGATACAATATAGACACACACAAATACAATATGTTTTTAATTCCCCCCCCCTCTCTGAAGTTGGAGGTTTTTGTGGGTCTGTGAACGCAGCGCAGGCAGAGCTCGCATTAGTTCTTTGTTTTCCTCAGCAGCAGTTTCTGACTCACGGGGTGGATAATTGACCTGTCAGTCAGATCAGAGAGGAGCAGCTGCTGCGAGTGAATACAAACTGTTAGACCCAGCACAATGAAGTTTCAACTTCAATGCACCTGATGTTCTGCTGCTCAAGTTTGCTCTGTGCTCCAACAGTGTGGTGCTATAAATAACTGAGCCGACACATTAGAGATGCACCATATTGGATTTTTTTCCCGATATCTGATATATTACAACTTCTGTGGCTGATAACCAATACCGATATCAATATAGCCACTTTTTCCCCACCTAATTTTTAGTGATCAGCAAATTTCTTATGTAATGGAATTACCATCGTATTATACATAAATACTCTGATCGTAAAATGTGTTTAATATTCATTCATTGTGCAAAACAAGAAAAAGCATGTTTGCTGATTCTGTTCTGCATTTTAAAGCCGATATTAGCCGATACCGACGACGTGCTGACATTATGGTCCCTCCCTAGTACACATGCTCCAGTAGTGCTCCTAATCAACGGTCCTGCTGCAGAAATAAAAAATCTATTTGCAGCGGCAGACGTTTTATTCAAGGTGGGACGGCAGCGTGAAACCCTGTATGTACCGTTGTTTGATAGTTTGTCACACTTGTACAAAAATGTCTTTAATAACAAGACTATTAGCAAATTGAATCTACATTAAATTAAGTACAATTGTGTGTGTGTGTGTGTGTGTGTGTGTGTGTGTGTGTGTGTGAGATTGCACTAAACTGAGTCATTGCTCATCAAATGTTTCTTTCAGCTTTACTTGTTAGCTTAGCTTGTAGCTTCTGGCCTATGTGTTTATGTCAAATTGTCATTTAGCAAACAGCATTGTGCGTGTGCGTGTGTGTGTGTGTGTGTGTGTGTGTGTGTGTGTGTGTGTGTGTGTGAGTGTCTAGCTAACTGCTTTATTCAGTATAACTGTGCAGAAATTGTCTCTTACGTTGTTTTCTGCTTTGTTTCTGTGTTTGTTTGTGTTTTGCATGCTAAACTTGGCTTATTCCGGACTTGTGCTTTTTGGTAAGTTTTTGTATCTAAGTTTCTGTAACTTTTGGATTTTAGTTCACGTACCTTAAGTTTTATAATAACGTGCTTTTTGTTTATTTGTTTACCTGTTTTTAAAGCTGTTTTTTGGAGTGTGTTTTTGCTTTGCTCTGCTCTCCCTCCTCTCTGCTGGCAGCGTTTTTACTTTTTATCCTTCATCCACTGAGTGACTGTGTGGCTGGTTAACTACCTGGTTTGCCAGCTGGCTGACTGCTGGTTTGTTAGATGGCTTGATGACCGACAGACTGGCTGTTTAAAGTGACTGGCTGACTGCCTGCACGAAGGAGTGTCAGGGAGCAGATGTAGTGATTTGTTGTGTCCGTTCACTGTCTATTCTTAATGGTTAGTCTCTGTGCTGATCTGACATCCTTATCTGCCTCTGTCAGTCGGCGGTGGCGTGGACTTTGGTCATTCCAAATTCTGCAGAAAGGGCAGAAGACCCTCTGATCGCCCATCCAGAATTTAAAAATATTGTCTTTGCTTGACTGTGGGTAGAGTAAGAGAGGTTTAAACTCCTTGGTGCAGCAGCAGTGTCACACTTTTATCATTTCTCACACCTTTTCCACTTTATCTCGTGCACCTGCACCGGTTAAAGTTACACTTCTGACCTGAGACACACACACAGCTTTGGAGCTGGGTTACATTTACATACAGTGTGCTTTAGTCATGTCTGTCATGTAAATAGAAACTGCTTCTTCCAAGCTAAAGATGATGCCTTTTATTCCTCTTTATATGTCACAGCTTGTTGAAAGATTGATGAGACAATCTTTGCAAGCTGAGCTTTTATTTAAGTTTGGGTTTTTAAGAACACGTTGCATCCACAGCTGAACTTTTCCAAACGTCAAGAAGCACAGAAGAAGGTTTTGTCTTTTAATGCTTCTTCTCGTTTCTGTCTTTAAACTTTGACTTTGAGAAAACGCAAATCAAGACGCTATTGGGTGGACGGTCTGGGTTTGCACTGATAGTCAGATTTTACTTTGGGCAAACATTTTTAGTCACTCTGCAGCCGGGACGGTGATCGTCAAACACAAGCTGCTCTTTAAAAAGTCTGAGCACCCCAGATTTTATATTCTGATTCTCTTCCCAAACATAATAGCTCTTAAAAATTTGAGTGAAAAAAATCCTATTGAGCAAATTAAAAAGTAAAACCTAACATGCTGATGTCGCTGCATCAGTGCGCCACAGCAAAAATCCAAATGAGGGAAATGTTGAACCAAAGTAAAATGACTTCATGAACGTTTTCTTGTATCTAGTCATCTGTGTTTCTCTCTGTTTGTCTTAATGAAAGAAGAGCTGGATAAAGTTCTGCCAGCTCCAGTATCACTAAATTATTCAGCGTCTCATTTATATCAGTCTGCTGTTAATTTAGTCAAAATGAAGAGAAACTATAATTAATTAGGACAAGATCCGATAAACTGTATTGATCCCTGAAGGCAAAGAGATGAGTTAAAGTAACAGATATGCAGATACTCTACACTCAAGTTCAAAAAAACAAGTGTGGATGATGTGGGAGAAAATTATTTCCAGAGCGTATATGAGAGCATAACGACTTCTGAAGAGAAAAATGCTTTGAGTTGGTAATTTTGATATAGCTGAATATGTAGTTGATAAATGCGCATGAAACATTTCAGCTCAGGGAACAGAACGTATCAGCTCATATTAAGACTGATTCGTCAGCGCAGCCTTAAAACACAGAGAAACAAAATGTGAGGTTTATAAAACACCCACTGAAAGACAAAAAGAGAGATCCAGTAAATGATGGCAGATACTCTTTTAGGTTTGACTGATATTCATATATAGTTATTTGTCCTGTAAGTTGTGGATTATCTCACGACCTTTTTGTAACTGTGTGTACGCTGCCGTGTTACAGCAACAGCTGGCTCAGCTGCAGAAGGAAAAGTCAGAGATTCTGAAGAACCTGGCTCTCTACTATTTCACCTTCGTAGACGTCATGGAATTCAAGGTGGGAAAACACACACACACACACACACACACACACACACACACACACCAACAGTACACTGTGAAGGATTGTATGGAGGTGATTCTGATGGAGGTATTTATATTGACCTCTTAATCAACAGGACCATGTGTGTGAGCTGCTGAACACCATCGACGCCTGCCAGGTCTTCTTCGACATTGTGAGTACAAAACCTGAACGAGACGTTGATAAATCGTCACCTTTTGATAACAATGATCTATCTGACATTTTTATCAAGACTAAGTTATTCATACATTCTTATTCTGTTATAACTTATTAACATTATGTGAGGTGTTCTTATGAGTCATGCATTTTTGGACATTTTATTTAGAAAATAAAAAGGTTCTATCGCCATCTATTTCTCCATAGAAAGCTTTAGATTCAACATTTTTTGTACATGTAGACACTCTGTTACACTAATTTTATGTTTTCAAAACAAATTATAAGTAAACTGTTCATGTTCCTTGATTTGATGTGTTGCTAAACCCCCATTTACAAAGCTGGCAGGATTTTTATACATCACACTGACAATCACTTTAAGGTGTTTGTCGTTTTTGTGTATGAAAGAGACTTGTTCCACAAATAATCTTTACCATATGGAATGCAACAACTCTGAAGCTCCGTATCTCAAATCCTCTCAGAACGCAGATAGAACGTTATAATTCTCAGGTGGCGAAATGTTCTCAGTGGTCACTTCATTATTTACTGTCTTTGAAAAATAATGTTCTCCGATACACCAGCTGAGCCATAAAGTCTTGCTATATAGATAATGATGTATTAATCAAACAAGGCAAAATGTGAGCAGTGGTTTTGATGTTTTGTCCACATTTATAATACAGACAATGAAACAAACTACAGCTACAGCGTTTAGTTAAATGAATACCTCTCTGAAAGCGTTCACAAACAACTGAACATTTTAATCTTTCTAACTGTGGAATTTGTAGCAGACCTGTTGGTTTGGATTGCATTAAATTGTACAGGTGTACCTTATAAAGTGGACATACATTTCTTTTTATCATTTTGTTGCTACTCTTTGAGAATACTCTGTCACCTGCCATATCAAGTGGAAAGGTCCGTCAAAATTAAAGTACAAATGTTTGTATGTGTGTGGTTTTATTGCAACAGAGAACGAAGGTACGCAATTTAATCTACATATGCAAATCAACACATGGACAATACTTCTTTTAGAGGTCATGGTTTAACATGAATGTTTTTTTTAATTGCCCAGTTGAGCTAGTGCAGGAGTCAGCAACTTCTTTAATAATATCTTTTAATATCTCTAACCACACAGTGGCTCCTCTGCAGTGGACTGTTTATGATTATTTGCCACTTTAACTTTGCAGAGTTGGCGATGAAAACAAACAAATCTGTCCGCCATTACTGTTGAATTCTCTGTTTTCCTTTTTTTTGAATTTGGAATCCATGGTTAGCCTCGCTACTCAGAATGAGTTCAGCACCATTGAGGTTTTGCTAAATTTAGAGGAAAAGGCACCAGGTCGTAGACGTGTGACGCTCATTTTAGTTGACAAAATGTCAAAACATTTTTTTAACTGGTGGACAGGCTACACATTTTTAAAAGTGCAGATTATAAAATCTTGTTAGGCCTAGAACAGTGATGTATGAAAATAAAAATGTTAAAAGAATTTTTTTTATTTTATTTTATTTATTTTTTTTGACAAATCCACAGGGAGCCACTGTAGAGGGAATAAAGTAAAGGGAAGTTTCTGTCCGGCACGGGCAGAAGTGCTCTGCATTGCGAGCATTTCACTCGCATTTGCCCCTAAANGCAGTGCGAGCATTTCACTCGCATTTGCCCCTAAAAATATATGTGTGTGAACCGGGAAAATGATTTAGACACACAGTGTGTGAGTAAACACAGCCTACTGTTTACCGTAATTGGCATCGGACGTTTTTTCATTGATAACCAATCAAATAAATGTATTTTAAAACTCGCTCCTTTGGCTCTGATACAGCCATCTCGCTCCCTGCCTGCAGTCCCCACTGCACTGAGCTTTGTAACAATGTCCTGCCTACAGCCCCCTCTGATTGGTTACACGGCACAAGTGATAGCCAATCAACACTGACGCCTGTGCATGCTTTCACATCATGTCACATTAAGACACAGAGCTCAGACGGAGCAGGAGAGGCTCCGGTAAGCCAGCGGTAATTTTGAAGGTAGGGTAACAGAAACCAAACAGAAATGTAAGTTGCAATAAAAGTCCTCTATGCTGAAGTTTTAAAGTCACCACCACAACATTATATGATCCATGTCAATGATGACATGCTTGCCCAGAGGCGAGATCTGATGAATGAGAAATGATTTAGCTTCTAAAAATAAATAGCACCAAGGCAAAAAAGAGATGTAGGAGCTATAAGTCAAAAAGTCTGGTAACCACTGAAAGTTTAATCTTTATTTATAAACTCATTATGATATAAAAGATTAATCTAAAAAATAACAACTAAAGCTATAATCTTTTTGTTCGTTTTAATAATAAACACGTTCCTTTGCAACACATACATTTCTATTTCTTCATTTTGTGACCGCAGCACCAAGCCCCCCCGCTCTGGAAAAGAGCAGGCACACAAATCTTCCGTGCTCCACATTTCAGGCACAAATTTTTTTCTTGCTTTAACCCTTGGTTTTAGTGGTAATCAAATACAAAATTAAGGTACCTTTGAAAGACGACCCAGTTTTTCCACCTCGCTCTCAAACTTGCGGCAAACTGAGCAATACCTGTTAGAGTTTGAACCCCATCGTCTAACGCCACCTATCTCAGCTCCTGTTTCTAGGATACAGGAATCACTCAGTTGTGCTTTAGCTCTTAAACTTTGTCTTTCCTGCTGCTATTTTCTCACGAGAGCCTGATTGCGCATGGATAACTCTGGAATAAAACAATGAGATAGATTATTTTTTACCAGTTGCTGGATCGGGTGAGTGAGTTGCTAGATATAACAGGTTGCTTACACATGCTTCTCGAGATATTGGCTCACATTCACCTCATGCATATAAAACTGTTGCTGTCAGAGTTGTTTCCTCCGCTGCGGGGAAGTTCATTAATTTATCTCGTCTTGTTTCCTGTCAGACGGTGAACTTTGACCTGACCAAGAACTACCTTGACCTGGTGGTGACTTACACTACACTGATGACAATACTGTCCCGCATCGAGGAGAGGAAAGCCATCATAGGACTGTACAACTACGCCCACGAGATGACGCACGGAGCCAGGTGACTGAAACACACTCAGGTCGATGAGAGAACGACCACAGCGGGACGTTCAAGCTCTTTAAGCGCTGTAAACTGTCTATGGTCGTAGTCTCTATGGTAACCGTGGTACTGTGTGTGTCGTAGTGACCGGGAGTACCCCAGATTGGGCCAGATGATCGTGGATTACGAGAACCCTTTGAAGAAGTTGATGGAGGAGTTTGTTCCACATGGAAAGGTAGAAGAACTGTTGCTGTAATATTCAGTGGTGTGGTCTCTCACATTGTTATTTCTCTTGCCTTCTGTAACTGTGGAGACAGAAACAATTCATATTAAACTGAACTGAACAGCTCGGTGGAAACAGAGCTAAAGTTCAAGTGTGGCTGCCAATGGTTGTGGAAATTTCTATGGATCAACCAACCAAATGACTGAGCAAGCTGCAGAGCTGCTGGTTGCAGTCATGTTGATTTGAGCCATGCTGCACAGTGCAGTAGAAATGCGGCATCAGATCGATCAGTCAGTGAAACAGTTTTCTGCTCTGTAACTGGGGGCTGAAGTCTCGACTTAATTAAAGAGAAAATAAAGTGAAGATTGAGACACCTCCACCGCAGTTGTTCCTGCAGACTGATGCAACACAGTGACACATGGTGATCAACTCGAGTGCCAGAAAGCTCACCTCCTGTCTCTCCTCCTGTTTCTCCCTCTTCATCCCTTCTCCTCCTGTCTCCTTCTCCAGTCTCTGTCAGATGCACTGATCAGTCTTCAGATGGTTTATCCCCGGAGGAATCTGTCCGCTGACCAGTGGAGGAACGCCCAGCTGCTGTCTCTCATCTCTGCTCCCTCCACCATGCTCAATCCTGCACAGTCAGACACTGTTAGTATGACCACGCTGAATAGATGAAAGATTAAAAGTACATAATTTAAAATCTGTGGTGATAGCTTGAGCCTGAGCTTAATGAGGCATTTAATCCATTCTCATATTTGTGTGCTCCGTAAACCTCTGTGAAAGATATTTGCCTCTGACTGATTCTAACTATGAAAGTCAGCTGACATCATGTCCTGACGATCTGCTCCTCACTGCTGTCTGTCTGTAGATGCCGTGTGAATACCTGTCACTGGACGCCATGGAGAAGTGGATTGTTTGTAAGTGAAACGGTCGCTCATTCATCCAGTCATGTAAAACATTTATTTTTTGGCCTCTGAACTGCACTCAGTCACCTCTCCCTCTCTGTTCTCTCTCCAGTCGGTTTCATCCTGTGTCATGCGGTGCTGAACAGCGACGCAGCAGCGTTGTCTCTGTGGAAGCTGGCTCTGCAGAGCTCCACCTGCCTCTGTCTGTTCAGGGATGAAGTCTTCCACATCCACAAGGCTGCAGAGGACCTGTTTGTGAACATCAGAGGGTAAGAGCATGAGTGCGTTAGGATACACACGGGCAGACAAACTGATTTTAGTATGTCTTTGCTCTTTTAACACGTCCTCTCTGCTCGTGTGTTTTCCAGGTACAACAAACGCATCAATGACATCAGAGAGTGCAAGGAGCAGGCCCTGTCTCACGCGTACGTACATGATCTTTTCACTAATCCCTGTGTCGCATCCCAACTGGAATTTTCATCTAATTTTTCCTTTTTGTTCCTCACATACAAAACATATTTCACATATTATGATTTATTTCATGTTCTCTGTTTCATCCATTTATATTCCTGCTCTTTGTTCCTGCCTCCATCTTTAGCCATCAGTTCAGTGCCTCCAGCCTTTCGTCTCTCTCTCAGGGAGTCTCACACAGTAGCTTCACCTCTCTTTATCCCTCATTCAGTTTTTTTCTTCCCTTTTTATCCTCCCCACTGTCTCATCTCTGCTTTTATCCTCATTACTTATTCCGTCTTCCCCTTTCATCTTCATTCTCATTCTTTCGCCGTCACTGTTGTCTGCTTACTTTTTGTCCTCTTGCAGGGTTGTCCTGAAAGTGTCAAAATACAATATAATCATGATGCTTGTGTGTTTTGATGCTTCGCTCTGACTCCCTCCGTCTGTCTGCAGAGGCTCCATGCACAGAGAGAGGCGCAAGTTCCTGCGATCGGCTCTGAAGGAGCTGGCCACCGTTTTAGCCGATCAGCCAGGACTGCTGGGCCCTAAGGTGAGACAGAACACCACCTTAAACAGTAAAACAGCACCTTAAATAACAAAAGATTCTGTTTAAGAGGAGTTTAATGAGCAGCACTAAATGAGCAACCTGGAGAAGTGCTAAACAAGACAAGGCAAGGCAAGTTTATTTATACAGCACATTTCTGCACCGAGGCGATTTAAAGAGCTCGACATAAAACACCGAGAGCATCGAGACAAAGTGCAAAAGACACACATTATAACGCCATTAAAGAGCAAGAGAATAGGAAATGAAATTAAAAACAAGACAGGTATAAAATACAGGAATAAAAGAAATGAATAAATATCTGATTTAAGAAAAGGCAGCAGCAAACAGAAAAGTCTTCAGTCTTGATTTTAAAGCAGTGAGTTGGTGCAGAGCTGCAGTTTTCTGGGAGTTAGTTCCAGATATGTGGAGCATAAAAACTAAACACTGCTTCTCCATGTTTAGTCTCGGCTCTGTGGACACAAAGCAGACCTGTCCCAGAAGACCTGAGAGGTCTGGGAGGTTCATACTGTTGCAGAGGGTCAGAAACTGTCAAGTGTTTTATAAACCAACAGGAGTATGAAGTTGATTCTCTGACGGACAGGAAGTCAGTATAAAGACCTCTGAACTGGAGTGATGTGATCTGCTTTGTTGGGCTAAGTAAGGACTCGAGGCAGCAGCGTTCAGAATCAGCTGTCTGATGGAGTTTTATGGAGACCTGTTAAGACACTTACAGAAGTCAAGTCTACTGGAAATAAAAGCAAAATATAAATACTATAAATAGCTCTTCAGGTTTATGAACTAAAATATATAAAATCACTTTACATGATGAAATAACAAAACATAAGTTATGTGGGTCATCTCTAAAGTGAAAGTTAGATAATCTGTGATTTAAATTAAAGTTAACTAATGTAGGACAGCTGTTCTTCTTCACTAGGAGCATAGTAAGGTATAGAATAAATAATTATAGAATAAAATAACTCAATAGGAACACAAACAGCAACAATATATAAATATTATTAATAAGGGAAAAGGACAAACAACTATGACAGACATCGTTACAAGTCCTTCATTAGATACTGTATATTACATTTATTTTGTATTAGTGGTGGAGCAAAAAATCAATACAGCAGAGTATTTTATGGCAACAGCAACAATATGTGGCAATGTCTAAAAGTTGGCATTCACTCGCAGCAGCTGCTCCTCTCTGACCTGATCAGCTCTGAAGAGTTGGACATGTCAACTATCCACCCGGCACAAACTGCTGCTGAGGGAGACAAAGAACTGACGGAGAGCTCGGCCTGCGCTGCATTCATGAACCCGCAAAAACCTCAATTTAGAGAGGGGACACAGAATGATGTCAATACATAATGAATCAATACAGCACAGTATCGCAATATTTTTGTCATATAAATTATTAATATTACAAATAAAAATAATCGTTTGGTAGTTTAATAGAATAATACAATCGGGTGCTTTTTAAGTTCAAGTTTAAAGGGATAGTGCACCCAAAAATGTAAATTCAGCTATTATCTACTCACCCATATGCCGAGGGAGGCTCAGGTGAAGTTTTAGAGTCCTCACATCACTTGCAGAGATCCAAGGGGAGAGGAGGTAGCAACACAACTCCACCTAATGGAGGCTGACGGCGCCCCAGATTCAAACGTCCAAAAACACATAATTGAAACCACAAAATATCTCCATACTGCTCGTCCGTAGTGATCCAAGTGTCCTGAAGCCCCGACATAAAAAGTTGTTTGGAAAAACCTCACAGAGGTGCCCAGAGAGGCAGTCAGAGCTACAGGCTACAATGAGGCTAAAAACAAAGTTCAAATGAAGTTTTTCCAAACAACTTTTTATGTCGGGGCTTCAGGACACTTGGATCACTACGGACGAGCAGTATGGAGATATTTTGTGGTTTCAATTATGTGTTTTTGGACGTTTGAATCTGGGGCGCCGTCAGCCTCCATTAGGTGGAGTTGTGTTGCTACCTCCTCTCCCCTTGGATCTCTGCAAGTGATGTGAGGACTCTAAAACTTCACCTGAGCCTCCCTCGGCATATGGGTGAGTAGATAATGGCTGAATTTTCATTTTTGGGTGCACTATCCCTTTAAGGTTTTAAGTGAGATGAACAGACTGAAAACTTAATTTTATTAGATAAAACAGATGTCGATAAAGTTTTGCTTTGAGGACAGAATTAACAGTTGAACAAAAGTTAATAAATTGCAATATATTTAATTGCAATACTCAGCATATTGTAAAATATGTAAAATTGATACTGTGTTGTGACTAAAGTATAGTAATAATATCGTATCAGGGAGTTTAAATGAGTTTCACTGCGGAGGTTGTAATGATGCCTCTCCAGTTACGTCCAACATAAAAGATAAATCTGTGTCCCTGAGATATTTTATAAATGCGCCCCAGATACATTAAACTATTCTTGTTTATCTTTGATTGTATATTTTCTAAAGGACATTTCCTTTAGCCGATGCCCAGTGCTTGGTCTCTGGGTGCTTTTCCATGTTAATGCAACAGATCCTTTGGCACGCGCCTGTGAAAAATTATCTCACTGTGTTTTATTTTATGTCCCTTTGGTTAAATGCCAAGAACAAAGAATAAATGTTCTTTTATTAAGACTCGGCTCTGTTCTGTGGGAGTGGCAGCTTGACTTAAAATACATCACCTTCCTAAAACACAATACCACCTTAAATAATTCAGCATAACCTTCTGAGTTTATCAGGGCAGACAGATTTTACCACCTTAAAAAGCCCTGTAGGTTCCCGTCCAGATGGAGACCCTTATAAATGTATAACAGAATGTATTTGCTAAGCCAGACTGGCTCTGTAAACATATTGCATCTTTGGTTCAGAGACTGTGAGGGAGCAGGCGCTGCCAACTGCTCGCAGTAATTTATCTTGGAATTATTTATCTTGGGGAATTTCTGACATTTCCATTTCTCTCCCTTTTTCTTAAAAAAAAAAAAAATCTGTTTCTCTACTTTCTCCATATTTCTCAATTTCTGCCTCTTTGGGTCCCACTAGGCGTTGTTCGTGTTCATGGCGCTGTCGTTTGCCCGTGACGAGATCATCTGGCTGCTCCGACACGCTGACAACATCCAGAAGAAAAGCACAGATGACTTCATAGATAAGTATGTAAACACACACACCTGCATGAACACACACATTAACACAAACACGCGCATGTTCACACTAACAGAAACACAATCACTGCGCCCACCGCTTGTGCTGCTTCAGTTCCAGATGTATTGGTGTGTGTGTGTGTGTGTGTGTGTGTGTGTGTGTGTGTGTTTTACAGGCACATAGCAGAGTTGATCTTCTACATGGAGGAGCTCAGAGCTCACGTCAGGAAGTACGGTCCTGTGATGCAGCGATACTACGTCCAATATCTGTCCGGGTTTGATGCTGTGGTGCTGAATGAACTGGTGCAGGTATGAACACATGAACACTCTGAAGAGCTTTGAAAATGTACATACGTAATAACTCCTGCACTAAATCTGAACACAGGGTGAGATACAGGGTTTCTACAAAGGCTGCCCCCTCTGAACGTCAGAGATTTAAATCTTCAAAGACCCCTCAAGCAGGATTTATACTTCTGCGTTTGCGAATTGACACCGTAACTATGGCTACACCGTAATGTAACTACACCTCGCAGTGATGCAGAACTTTGCCGATACTGACCAATGAACTTTAGAGGAGGTGTGGTTCAGGAAATGACTCCGTAACCTTCGGGCCAATCATCACAAACCTTGTAAGCAGTGTCTTCAGAGGAACCACGATCATATCCTGTAAGTGTCATTCAAAGTGGCCACAAGGGGGCACCACAAACGCAAAAAACAGGTATGGGATAATACAAATCAGACTACAAATCAAAAATTGATTGTCCGATCATTACAAAACACCCAGAATATGTTGAATAATAATGATGAACCAAGTGTGTTATATAATTTTGTAATCGGTCACCACCACTTCCAAACACGCGCAATGGCCTTTCACAAAAGTTGACCAATAGGAAGCCACTGTGCTTCCAAAGAAGAGCGCGGCCCAGTAGAGATTTGGACATGAATGAATGAGCATCTGTCTGATTGTCATAAAACCTGTTGCTAATCTTTAATGCAGGCGTCCTGAACTGTCAAAGGTCTTAACTCTACGCAGCTTTCAGCTTTTAAAGGTCCAGGTTCTGTGATAAACAGAATATGGTCTTATCTTCGGTCAAAACCTGTGGAGATAAAACATCACATTTTGAGTCTTGTTTGAAAGAATTAAAGGCTGGCTGTTAGAAGACAGATCTGTTCCACACTGCTGTTGACTTTCTAACCAGTTTTCTGTCCTGTCTTTATCTCCTAGAACCTGTCTGTGTGTCCAGAGGACGAGTCTATAATCATGTCTTCATTTGTCAACACTATGACCTCCCTCAGTGTCAAACAAGGTAACACATAACTTCTGTAAAACATAGAGGAGGAGGAGTGATAACAGGAGAGCAGACCAACACAGTGGCAGTGTCATTTAAGTTTAGTTGATGATGTGTAATTGTGAGTGAATCTTTGTGCTTCTGTGTTCCAGTGGAGGATGGAGAGGTGTTTGACTTCAGAGGCATGAGGCTGGACTGGTTCAGACTGCAGGTGTGCTTACAAATCAAGCGCTTTAATCATTAAAAAAACATTTATCTAAAGCTCAGGGCGATGCTCGTCTAAGGGAATATTTGGTTTCAAGACTGCTGAACACAGTCTCCACTGAATGTTTTTAATTTTGCGTAAAGCAGAGAACGGCACTGCTGATCAAAACAAGAATACCTCATTAATTAAAATACTTTGTCCGACTGTTTCCCCTCTGTAGGCCTACACCAGTGTCTCTAAAGCCAGTCTGGGTATCGCCGATCACAAGGAGCTGGGTAAAATGATGAACACCATCATCTTCCACACTAAGATGGTGGACTCTCTGGTGGAGATGCTGGTGGAGACGTCCGACCTGTCCATTTTCTGGTGAGACACACCTCAGATGTTTTTATGTATTTGACGTAAAGAAAGTGTGTGTGTATATCCCTCATTTCCTTTGTCTCCTGTGTGTGTGTGTGTAGCTTCTACAGCCGTGCGTTTGAGAAAATGTTCCAGCAGTGCTTGGAGCTTCCCTCCCAGAGCCGACACTCCATCTGCTTCCCTCTGCTCTGCACACACTTCATGTCCTGTACACACGAGCTCTGTCCCGAGGAGGTAAATAAATACACACACACACACTCGCACAGATGAGAAACACGTAAAACACACTCACAAGAATAGCTGCAGTTCAGTAACTGCTGTTAAATTATGTTTATTTCACATTAATGACCTTTCTTTAAGGTTTTTGCTCCTCTTCCTCTGCAGCGTCACCACATAGGGGATCGGAGCCTGTCGTTGTGTAACATGTTCCTGGATGAGATGGCCAAACAGGCCAGAAACTTGATCACTGACATCTGCACTGAACAATGTACACTCAGCGACCAGGTAGGAACACACACACACACACACACACACACACACACGGGCAGCAAATTAAAGGAATAGTTTGACAAGAAAAGGAGTCAGGTATTTGTAACAAGTGACAACCTTTAACTTCTGAGCAGTACGAACATCAGGAGTGTTCGCAGGATTCTTCATAACATTTGAGAAACACATAACCTTATTTTTATCAGCGTATAAACCAGCTTAAGTTGTGAAAGATGAATCTGGATGACGTTAAAGACAGTCTGCAGTTTGGCCACAGTGCTGTGAAGGATGAGCCGGCACATTATATCACAGCGTCATCGGCATAAAAATGAACATTGGCACCAACCGCATTTTGACAAAGACTATTTATATGAATTGAAAATAACAGCAGACCTAACACTGAACCCTGGGGTACACCATTACAAGTGTTGAGACAGTTAGGGGTGAGCCCATCAAACTGAACACTCAGAGACCTCTCTGAGAGGTCATTCTCAAACCAGCCCACAGCCTGGTCAGATATATCAGTCCTAGTCAACATCTGTATCAAAATAAGATGGTCGACAGTATCAGAAGCTTTGGACAGGTCAGTAAATAGAGCTGCACAGCTCTGCTTCATGTCCAAAATGCCAATAACATTGTTCACCACCTTCATAGTTGCAATTATGTTGCTTTCTGAAGCCAGACTGATGTTGAGATAGAGCTGCATTATTACATAAGAACACCCAAATTCATTCTCTGTTTATGACAAAACTCCAAAAGGTCAATGGTCAACTTCATTTGACATCATAATGTTCTGCAGAAACACTGCAGAATGTTGAAACTGTGCTGATTGTATAGGTTGTGTGTGTGTGAAGCATCAGTGTTTTCACAGACATGGATGGAAACTGTCAGAGACGCCGGAGTGGTAATTCTAGATTTCCCAGCACCTCACTGTTGGCTCTTTCCGGTTGAGAATTACGGAGGCTGCTGTGGCAATTATATGTGAAAGGTTTGACAGCATTTTGGGAGCAGCAGGCTCATCTTGCCACACAGCATGGAGACCTGCTTACAGAAAGAATGAGCTCAAATCCATCAGAAGAGGGAAACCTCAAAAGATGATGAGATGGATGATGTGCGGCAGAATCGGTTCAGTTTATTTAACTCACATTTATTTTGAAAAAGGGAAGTAAACATGATACATCAGCACCGGTTGTGCTGTGTAGTGTTTCTGTGAACATCATATTCGCAGGTTAATGTCTGTAAGTCTGAGTAAAATACACACTTTCTGACCCCATGCAAATGCAGCACACCAAACTATTAGGAAGCTCACAAATTAACACTTCATATCTCGTTTGTGTAATCCAGACAAAATTCAAAGTGTTAAAGCAACTGTTCTGTGCTCGACTATTCCTTGGCTCTGAGCAGTTGCCAGGCAACCAGCGGACACTCCGACCATTTCTGGGCCAGGACCAATAACTTTCTGGAGGGTCGTATCGATCAGATATGAGAGTGGTATCGATCTTCTCATCTGTCTGCCAGGAACCGAATGAGTGCATCTCGCAAAGTGTCAAACTATTCCTTTAAGAACGAACTCCTCGAGAGCACAGCGCTCTGGATTTTAATCTGTCAGAACAGCCATCACATGTCCTGATGCATCGAGAGCTAAATACACGTTCTTGTGTTGGCAGTAGCACGTCATAATTTGAAGCAGCTGTAGAAACAAATTTCAAACATTTCCCCAGTTATCAGGACGAAGAGCTGTTAAAAGTGTAAACAGCTTTTCAACAAAGCGCCACTGCACTGATGAAGTCCTCAAAGTTTTCTTACACTCACAAACTTCCTGATATCACAAAATGGCAGAGCAGCAAGCCAGAAACAACTGTCCATTTGCATAATATTACATGCTGTCACGTTAATGTTGTGAGTCCTCTCTTGATGCATGTTTTTAAAAGCTTTTTAAATTGATCTCTGTCAGTCTGCTACTTTTTTTTTCTTAAAAAGTCACTGTTCTAAGAACATCAGCCAGGCCGTGAATAATCGGTCCGTCTCCATCTGCCTTTCCTTCCCTCTGTCTCTTGTTTATCCCTGCCTGTCTCTTTCTGTCTCTCTCCGCCGTCTGGCTAATCTTCTCCTACTCTCCTCTCTGTAGCTGCTTCCTAAGCACTGTGCGAAAACCATCAGCCAGGCCGTGAACAAGAAGAGCAAGAAGGCGACGGGGAAGAAGGGAGAGCCGGAGAGGGAGAAGCCGGGAGTGGAGAGCATGAGGAAGAACAGACTACTGGTCACCAAGTCAGTGGAAGAAACAGACTCCATCTCCTTTCTCCTCTCTCTCTCTTTTTTTTTCAGATCTCTTGTTTTTTGTGTCTTCTGTTGATAAGTTATAACTCATGATGTCATAATTATTAATAACAGATTAATAGCCTTGTTTTTGTTGTTGCTTTGACTCAGTTCCCATTAACACCATTAACCATCCATCTTTGTTCCTGCAGTAGTAATGGCAGCAGTGATATAAAGCTGTGTATCCTCACATGAACTGTTATCATCGTTTCCCATATGTGTTTATAACAGTCAGCTGAACTTTAAAGCCTAGTTGGGATAATTCAAAAGCTGCAGTGATCACTGTAACTTGGTTAAAGGAACAACATAAGTACAGTAACCACAATGTTAACGATTCACAACCAGACAACCAGTTGGCTCCCGGGTCAGTGTCACTCACTGGGCCCAGTTTTAGACCAATAGAGTATTAAACATCTGGCAAAATGTACAAGATAGAAGTGCTTTCAAGGAGCAGAAGCAGAAACCAGTGCCTAATGGAGTAACAATAGGAGTAAGTTACTAAAATGAACTAAAACACAAATAAAAAACATTAAAAATGTAACTGGAGTAATGTCCACTTCAGTAATTATCCTCTGTGTCCAACTTAAAACGTTCATCATTGATCCAAGCGAGGAAATAAATCTTCAGTGTCCATCCTTCTAAATGCAAAAAAAGAAACCTGGAATAAACAACGCACTGCAAAAAAGAAAAGTATCCACAAAAAGAAATCAAACTCACCAGTGTGGAATCAGGAAAAGAAACAATCAGGTCCTAACTTGTTAGTTTGCTCAGTCTTTACGGTCCTTCACACACACTGGTCGTGCTCCTGCTCCCATGTGTCTTTAACCACCTGCAAAACACGAAGTTGGGCGCTACTCTTGAGCCAGCTTCCAAGGACGTGGAGGCAGGTTGCGTCTGAGGTTGCTGAGCGACCATAAGCAGCACTATATCATAGCCTACTTACCAGAAATCCTGAGGGCAGAGCTGATCTTCTTCCAGGGGCTGTTAAAGTGTGAATTAGGCAAAAATATTATCAGTGGGACACGATGTAAAGCTCTGACAGCTCTGCACTAACATGATCGGCTTCTTCATATTTATCACACACTGATATTTACGGATGTCACATGACGTGCGGTGAAGCCATCGTGCCCTGAAAAACAGATGCACAGGAACATGTCGCTGTGGCGTTTGAGGGCACCTGCTGCGCACCTATATTGAAAACAATGAGTTTGAGGGCACAAAAAACGCAGCATGTGTACAGCCCCTTATGTGTGTAACTAGGGCTGGGCGATATGGCAAAAAATGTTATCATGATATATATTTTTTCATATTGATCGATCTCGTTTTTATCATGATAGTAGTTTTTGCTGATTCTGCCAGTTCGGGGAGCATCCTGATTGGAACTTGAAGAAACAAGAGATTCATTGAAACTTAACAATAAAAGTTTAATAACATAAAACACTAAATAATATGTCTTTCCAATATTGAGAACAAAATGTTTTTAAGGTCTTCATGCAGACATAGGATTCACATTACACTCTCACATTGTATGAATGAATTGCCATCCACAAGTCAAGAGAGCAGCAGGGCCCACAACTGGCAAAAGAAAATTGAGAGCAGCACTCTTAAGTTTTTACAGAATCATCTAATTATGTTTTCATCAACAAGTGCAAACTAAGCGAATAGTCAGTTTTTACTATATTTTACATTTTTTGATTTTGTAAACAACGTATTTAAAACAACTTAAAAATCACTTATTAAATAATAATAATGATCTCAAATGTCTGTTGAGGCAATACAAAAATATACTAAGTAAAAATGTGGGGTATACCCTCTGTGGCTGCAAAACACAATGGATAGACTGTTGTTTTGCTAGCTGCCGCTAGCGATGCTAACAGCAGACGAAGGGGTCTTGCTAGGCTGTGTGTGTGGAGCCGGGGCAACTTGAGGCCGCATAGTTAGACTCTCTGTGTGGTCACTGGGATGGTGCTGTCTCAGGTGATTGAAAGGGTTTGTGGTGTTTCCCGACCTGGTTTGTACCAACTGTCGGCATATTTTGCAGACCGGCTTCATCTGCTCCTTGTCATTTTTGAGGTATCCAAACCACTTCCACACAACTGACGTCACGTTGCCCTTTTTTTCATCAATATCTCTGGTTCTGGATGATATAGTGATGTTGCTTTCACGTTCTGCATTATTTTCGCCGTCCTCGACTTCAGTTCCACTCATTTTTTCTCCTTTTTCCAACTTCTCTCTTCAGCTTCTCTCTCTCTTTACCTCCCGTTACAACTGTAGCCACGCTTACAATGAGAAGTGGGCGTATCCTGCCTGCATGGCATACGGTTGCCGGCAGACTCTGATATGCTGTTGTTGCGCTTACTTTTGCCATATGATATTGATTCAAAACGTCCCATGCTGGTAATTGAGATTGATCAAAATTTTATCACAATCCCGAATTGAGATCATATGAATGCCCAGTCCTCCTTGTAACCCACCGCAGGAGATTTAAAAAGTAGCTGTTAGCAGTCAGCGGCTAACTAAATGAAGAACAGCGACCATAAATGTCAGCAATAATAAGACAATAAGATTCTGGTGCTCTTTGCCCTCAGTGCAGAGCACGAGCTGCCATATAACATGAACAGTAAATGATTTTTACTGCCATGTTGATGCCATGATTATTGTTTAGACAGCGCTGCCAACATGTGTTTTATATGTCACACAACAGGCCGTCGCTGTTGTGATACATGTCACGCCTGTCACAGCTCTTTTTATTCCACAAAGCTGTGATGCAGTGTATAATCACACACTGGAGGGGAGCGATGCTGCTGTCATTTAGTTCTGTGTAAAAATGCAGAGGCAGCATGAAGAAGGGACTGTGCAGTGGCCCTATAACGCAGTGTGTGTTTAAAAGGGGCTACAAAGACGCACATTTTAGGGGGTTTATACGTTTGAGTGTCGTAGTGTCAGAAACCTACGTCGGGTCACGTCACTGATCAGACCGAACTGTAAACGTTGAGATTTGAATACATGAGGAACGATACTGTGAAGCTGCAGAACGACACAATAGACCTCAAAGAAACAACAAACAATCCACCTGTGTTTTAACAAGTAGAGTTTTTTACATCGTTACGCACATCTATCTGTACCTCCTCCATTTTTAGTGTTCTTGTTAAGTTCCACTTTGTTTATCGTCTCTTTGTCTCTGCTGTATTTTGTAAAAGTTTCCTCAGATCTTATTGAGTCCTCATATTGATATTGGTGTTTGCTTTCTTCCCCCCAGTCTGGATAAACTCCACACAGCATTATCTGAACTCTGCTTCTCCATCAACTACGTTCCCAACCTGGCGGTGTGGGAGCACACGTTAACACCGAGAGAGTACCTCACCTCGCACCTGGAGATCCGATTTACCAAGTAAACATAAACACACACAGATGAAACACACAGACTCACTGTTGAAGCTTATTTTCTGACACAAAACAGATGAGCTGCTGAGCTCTTTCATCTGTCTTTTTATGTCGATGAAATCATTGTAGCTTTCTACGCCGTCATCGTTACAGAGCGTTGTCAGCAAGCAGTGTAAAGGTCAGAGTAGGTGTTTAAAAACAGCTATAGAAGCAGATTATTTGAACATGTACGATAAGAAAAGAAATACGATCTCAAGAAAGGGGCATCTGCAAAAGATTTACAACATCAGACAAGAGGAGTCTGTTTAGTTTTTCTTGTTAAACATAAGAGCAATGTGTGCTGCGTTTGGTTCAGTCACAGAAACAGAGTCTCACTTTGCATTTCAATACAGTTTATCCTCTGCAGGTTTTTTGTGCTGGAGTTTTGGCTCTTTAAATGTTCCTGTACTAAACTGACCGTCATTCCAACATGTTTTTTAATAAATCTCTACACTCGCTCCGTCTGTAGGTCTATAGTGGGCATGACCATGTACAACCAGGCTACTCAGGAGATAGCCAAGCCCAGCGAGCTGCTGACCAGCGTCCGGGCCTACATGACGGTGCTTCAGTCCATAGAGAACTACGTCACCATCGACATCACCCGAGTCTTCAACAACGTCCTCCTGCAGCAGACGCAGCACCTGGACAGTCACGGGGAGCCCACCATCACCAGTCTGTACACAAACTGGTACGTTCGATGGAGCCGTGTGTGTGTGTGTGAGAGTGAAATGTGCAACATACTGACTGGAGTGATAAAATATCAGACTGTGAAGAGGAATGGATTAGTGGCATTTCATAAAAACATACAGGGAATTACTGATTGTATTTGTGCAGGCTGTGCCCGTATTACATTAATAATCTAATACTGTGGAGTCAAACAGCTCCTCCTCCAGTCTGTGTCCACAGATTGCCAGTTTTTAGAAACTCTTTTATCACGAGCACCAATAAAACAAAGTCCTCTCATGTTTAATGCTGCACAGAAGGAGATCATTATTTATGTCGCAGGTTCATGACTGTATGTTTGTGTATATTGGTCTTTTTTCTCTCTTTAATCTGGAGGATGAGTTCAGCAGAGGAAGTCTTTACGTTTCTGTCATCACTATTCTTCTAAGTGGTAAAAGAGTTTTTTTGCTTTACTTTATCACAATGAAGTAAATGTTCATTGCACAGCGTGATAGCTGTAGAATAATGACACCATCTGTGTTTAGATTGGTTCCCTACGAAGGCGGATTTATACGTGTGTGTCAGCTCTATGCAGAGCCTACGCTGTTGTCAGTGTTTATACTTGTGCGGTGGTGTGTCTGTGTCACTCTGAAGTTACACCTCCACAACACTAGTCGACGGCGGGGTTTCGGTGAAGTGCTGTAAAGTTTAGTTGATTCAAAACACACATTAAACACACATTAAACGCACATTAAACACACATTAAACAAACATTAAACACATTAAACAAACATTAAACACATTAAACACACATTAAACATGGCTTAATAGAGACAGTGTCAAACACAAATCAGCTTCACTATAACTCGCAGCATTCACAAACACTTGTCTTTATCTGGACACATTTTCCCCACAAATACAACATGCTAACGTTATTAGCACAAGTCTGTGGCATTTTACATTGTATAAATTAGCCTAGCAGCTAGCTGAGATTTCCTCTGCTCATATTTCAGCCAGGATAAATCACACACAGTGTGTGGAGGCTTTATTGTCTTCAAAATTTATTGTTTCTTATCTGTGAAATTAAAGTAAATCAAAGCTTTGTTTCCACTGAGGGAAATGGTTTCAGCTAACAGAGACAGACAGGAGGTCTGCGTCACTGTGACACTGTGGAGTTACATTTCTGGGGAGGTGCACGTCAGGCTACGGCGATGATTAGAGTGTAAAACGCACACAAGCCTCACTTTCACTGTGCAGGTCTGTCTGCCACTGGGTATGATCTCCCTGGAAAATGAAGGCTCCATTTACAGCACAAAGAAAGTGTCAGTCAAAGCATTCAATTTGAAATTCATTGGTGGTTTTAAAATAATGCTGATAGTGTGTGTGTGTGTGTGTGTGTGTGTGTGTGTGTGTGTAGGTACCTGGAGACGTTGCTCCGTCAGGTCAGCAACGGACACATCGCCTACTTCCCCGCCATGAAGGCCTTCGTCAACCTGCCCACAGAGAACGAGCTGACCTTCAACGCTGAGGAATACTCCGACATCTCTGGTACCAGCCTGCACACTCACTGTCTCATGTGTTCACTCCTTATACCCGCTGACCGTTCTTAGATTCTGTTGAGCTGTGTTTGTAGCAACATTTGTGTTTATTTGTGTGTTTTCACAGAGATGCGTTCACTGTCGGAGCTGTTGGGGCCGTACGGTATGAAGTTCCTCAGTGAGAGTCTGATGTGGCACATCTCTTCACAGGTCGCTGAGCTGAAGGTATAGACACACAGTTACAGAGAGAGATTCACTCACACATACAAAATGAGCTCTTAACCTTTGTAACAGAAACGACTCTCTTTGGTTGTGACAGGAGAAATAATGCATGAAAGATGTTTGTGTGTCTCTTTACTGGTTTTAAAATGATTACAGCTGCTGAGCTTCTCTGATCTGGATCTTTTTGTATCAGGGGTGTATCAATACGAGCGTCACTGATGAGATGAGATGCAATGCCATGCAAATTACAAATTATTATAGCTGAATAAACCACAGCAAATGAGAACTCTAACATGATGAGTAATGGCCTCAGAACAAGATTAGAAGTAAAGAGGGTTGGGTTCTTATACGACCGGTACACAAATGTGCAAATCCCAGGATAGCAAAGGAATGGCCCGCCTTACTCTGCCTCTGATTGGCTTACCTTGACATTCCTCCCCTTACCCTAACCAGTCTTACTTCTCTTGCCTAAACCTAACTGATCTAATCAATGAAGGCAACCAGTACTAGTTAGTAGCCCTGTTTAAACAGGAGTTGTGCAAATTTGCAATCAGTCTTTTTTCAGCATTGGCAGTATAAAAACAAAATCGGGGAGTGCAGCAAAATGCCGCCTACCTACTTTTGTTTATACAGAATGTGCCTTTTTCGGGGCAATGGGGGGCGTGAGCAAGTAACAAAACGTGTAGCTCAGCGTGTGACGTAAACAGTCGACCCGTCCTTCACCGTCCCCGTCATCTGACGGTTAATGGCCTCTTCGTTTGCGAGGACAAGGAGGGCGCGCAATTCCTTGTCTCCCCAGTTGCTCATCTTTACAGTGTCTGTCAGGTTTGTGTTTCCCTCTTGCTACTAGCTGCTCGCTAATTCCTGCTATCAGCTGTTTCCTGTTTATCCACCGCCAGTGACCCGCACGTGTGGCGTCATCAACAGCTCCTCCCACAAGTCAACAACAGCCCCTCCTGTTGCAGAAGGCCGCCTTGGTCTGTTTAAACTAAAAGGGTTCCACAAAAATGTCTACCCTACGAGGCGGAAAATTGAGCACCTCGGATCAACTCGCCAATCTGGCTCTGTGTGTCTAAACGCTCGCAGCTTGCCGGCAAAACGGCCCAACATTCGCTGAAAATCTGGCAGTGTAAAAGAGGCTTATGTTTGATAGCACATCTTTAGCATGAAAGCGGGAAAGAGAGAGAGGGGATGACAGAATCGAATCTGTGGCTGCTGTGACAAGGACACAGCCTGTGTCCATGGGGCACCTACTCCACCAGGTGGGTTACTGGGCACCCTTATATTGATTAATTAGTCTCGCAGCTTGCCGGTAAAACGGCCCAACATTAGCCAAAAATCTGGCAGTGTAAAAGGGGCGAACAGGGCGGGTCATTCCTTCACTATCATAGGATTCGCAAAGCTGGACAGGTACCGCCAGACCCAATCACAGTGCAGATTTTGGTGCCTCGTTTTGGTGCCGTATTGATTGTGTGTTGAAATGAAGAGAAAGAAAGCGTGTGATTGGCGTGTATCATATGGCCACACAAAATATCACGATACTATGCCGTATCTATTTTTCTCCCCCACTCTTACTTTAAACTGTCAGTAGTTAATACATTGTTCAAGTTCAAGTTCAAATGAACGCATTAAAATGTCGTTCTGTTGTTTTTCCCCCAAGAAACTGGTGGTAGAAAACATGGAGGTGTTGACCCAGATGAGGACGAGCTTCGACAAACCAGACCACATGGCCGCCCTGTTCAAGAAACTCACCTGTAAACACACACACCTGCACACACACACATGCATAGTACCATTTCACGACTGCTGAATTCAGATATTGTGGCAGCTCTGATTCCCTCAGTGTGCCTGATACAGAGATCTCTTCAGGAGATAGATTGTGTGTTTGACAGCTTGTGCTTCATTCACACTCCTTTGTTGACTCCGCTGACAGTCTGCTGTCGTGACTTGTTTCATGTCTGGGTAAATCTTCCCCCTGCTGATCTCTGTGTTTTCTTGTTAAAGATTTTTGTTGTAAACTTGTAACAGCGGCTAAACACACTCGACTGAAAGACAATTAAAAGTCAATACAAACACTGTCGGACTACACGACGGAAGCCGAACACAATAAATCTTCAGTTGCTTACAAATGAAATCAGCAAAATAAGTTTTGACGAATTACTCGGTTAGTGTGATAGATACTGGTGTTTCCTGATTTCCCGACTGACAGTCGAAGCTTACCTGACATGTCTCCTGTGTGCAGCTGTGGACAGTGTGTTGAAGAGGATGACCATCATTGGCGTCATCTTGTCCTTCCGCTCTCTGGCTCAGGAGGCTCTCAGAGATGTAAGACGCTTTTCTTCACCACGAACGCCACATTTCTGATTTGAATATTTCTGTCAGAGCACTGACGCTGCATCTCTTTCTTGTCTTGCTCTCTCCAGGTGTTATCCTGTCATATTCCTTTCCTGGTCAGTTCAGTGGAGGATTTCAAAGACCACATTCCCAGAGAGACGGACATGAAGGTAAAGAAACAACTTCTGGACACATAAAGATCAAATAATCTCTTGTGTCAAACTTTGTAATAGGGATAGGTATGTCTGAGTACTCACATTAAGTTATTATCAAACACTCAGGTCCTCACAAAAAAACTAATCTGACAGAATAAGTGGGTCCAAGATGAATGCCCTGACCGCAGAGATCGCACTGCACATTCATTACATTTACGTTGTAGAAATACTTCTGAACATCAGTCTTACTCCTGCTCAGCACTCTGCCTGTGACCATGGATCTGTGCAGATATTCATAGAAAGCTGTTCAAGCAAAAAAAAAAAAAAAAAAGCAATCACTGACATCCAAACTGAGCACTTGAGTCCTCACGCCCATCCCTGGTATGTGAAGGCCCTCACACATATGCAGTCGGTCCCTGAAATGTTCAGGATCATTTCCTGCATGAGGTCATGTGTGAACAGGAGCAGAAATCCATATTCAGGGAAATCTGTACTGCTAATTATTTCTACCTCGAGCCCGAGTAATGTTTCAGGTAAAATGACGTGAATGAAGCAGCGCTTGGCTGAAGACGGTTTGAATCCATGACTTGTTTAAGCTTTAGCTTTTGACGTTTTAGCATCAGCGTCACCTAGGCCTATCACAATAACAGATTTTGCTGGGCAATTAACTGTGTCAGAAATTATTGTGATAATATTGTGCTTTTAAGACCATTTTTATTATTGTTGTAATTTTGCTGTTTTTAGACCATTTTTATACTTAAATAATGATAATAAGGCATAATGATGCAAGTACACCACATTAATTTAACAAGAATATTTCGGAATGCAAAAAAAGAAAATTTAAATATCTGAAATAACACGTAAAAATATCAAAAATAAATAAATTAAGACCCTATAAATACAAAAAATAGACTCAGTCCCTGTTAATAAAAAGTGCACTGTAATAGTAAAAAAAACAACCAGAAACAATACATAAATAAATATAAATAATAAATGTAAATAAATAAATGCTGTGGCATTTGGTTTAGGAACATGTTCCCTGTCTTTCTCTTACGCTCAACTCTTTTTTTTCTCCGCCTCGTTTCCCCCTCACGAAGATCACAGTGTGTGTGTGTGTCTCTGTGTGTGTGGCCCATAGCCCCGCTCGATGACAAGAGCTTTCCCTCCGTTCATTACGCTAATGAACCAACTCACCTGGCTGCCAGACGATGCACGGCAGTAAACGCTCTTGTCGTCCAGTCTCTTTGGTGGAGAGAGACGAGGGAAACAAACACGCATGAATATTAATCACAGCCCCAAAAAGTTACCATCTCCCTTTTAATTAACCGACTTATCACATATCACGCCAGGCCTCACGTCAACTAAAATGTGCCTTGTCAGTTACAGCCTGATGCCTTTTCCTTTACGTTTTGCCAAACCTCAGTAGCGATGGCTAAGCTAGCTATGAAACCTAAATCCAATAAAGAGAAACACTGATAAAGTTAGAGACCCAAATAATCCTAATAAGCCCACCTCAGAGTGGCCACGTTGTGTTCAGACATATTCATGAGTGCCCATTTAGACCTGTTGGCTAATTTAGACTGAACAGGTTGTTTTGTTGAGTCATTATAAGGCTCAAGTATGTTTTTTTGTGACTGCATGGATTTTATTTTTCTTCTGGTTTTGGCCCAAAATGGCTCTTTTGACAGTAAAGGTTTCAGACCCCTGGTTTAGCATGAACAGTAATGCTGTCAATAACTAACAAGTATTGTAAGAACACCAGCAACACACATCCCTACGTACACGCACATCTGACCTTGTTACTGTGTTTTATGATGGTTGGCGTCTGTAAGTGTCGCATTACGGCCGTCTGCTGGACTCTGTTGGCTCATAGATTCCGCCATTTCCATAACATGTAAAAAGACGGAAGTGTCTCTGGATGCAGTGCGTATCCGAATAGTGACGATCACAAGTGGTGCCTGTAATTTCCCAGGAACTGTGTGTGAAAGAGGCTTTATGAATCTCTGTCTGTCTCCAGGTGGCCATGAACGTCTACGAGCTCTCATCAGCAGCAGGTTTACCCTGTGAGATCGACCCGGCTCTGGTGGTCGCTCTGTCCTCGCAGAAGAGCGGTGAGACACAAACACACACATGCAGATATGCAAACTGAATCTTAATGTTTGTCTGTAGCGCCTTTCAGACGTGCACATTAATAAGACAGTGTTGTCACAACAGCAGTCTCAGTGTGAGAATTAAACGTTGTCTGATTTGTGTAAAAGCTCAGGCAGCACCAGAGAGATTAAAGGCATGTGTTGTGCTGCCTTTTGAAATAACTGTAATAACTTTATTATCTCAAACATCATCTCTTGTGCACAAAATGAGTTTTAAAAAAGGGAGACGCTGTGAAAGAGACAATTTTGCGGTGTTAAGGACATTGATCTTCTCACATCAGACAAGTCTGTGAAAACTGTCCTCTCTGTGCAACCTGGGTGAAAGAGGTTTAGACAAAATACTATTACAGTAAAAATCTGACCAACAGTCAGATGAGTATCCAACAAAATGCTTTAGGTGCAGCATGTGAGCCAGAAAACACTCTTCTCCCTCACTACCATAACGTGTCACACTGCTGTGTCTGAACGAAGCCGTGAGGAGCGTTAAAGTCTCTGTCTGAATGACAAAAAGCCAGCACTCCAACAGCTCGATGAAGCAGCTGTGTTTCACACTCCTTGTCTGAATGGGACTTGTGTCTGTGCAGAGAACATCAGTCCAGAGGAGGAGTACAAGATCGCCTGCCTGCTGATGGTGTTTGTGGCGGTTTCCTTGCCAACGCTGGCCAGCAACGTGATGTCACAGTACAGCCCCGCCATCGAAGGTAGGACGCCAGATTTTCCCTTTTCAGCACTAAATAAAATATACACGATCAAACTACAGTGTTGCTGCTAAAAATGAGAGAATAACAGGACAGGTGTCAGATGGTCTGTGTGAAGAGGGTTATTTTCTGTCATATAGGGACGAGGACACTTTTGGAAATATCTACAGATCAGAGACTGTTAACGGGAAAGTTGCTTTTCATCTAGATACAAATCTAATAGAGCGCTGCGTGCAGCTGCCAACGATGTTTCACAAAGCATCAGTGTGGCGTGAAATATGTCCCTGGATAAAAAACTATGGTTGTGATAATCTCAGGATGATCTGAAAGAAAGACCTGTGTTGTAAATTGGATGAAAAACACTTGAGGGGGTTCTTTTCAACACCGGGGACTATACCAGAGAAACCACAGACTAATTATTCAGTATAAGGGTGCCCAGTAACCCACCTGGTGGAGTAGGTGCCCCATGGACACAGGCTGTGTCCTTGCCACAGCAGCCACAGATTTGATTCTGTCATCCCCTCTCTCTCTTTCCTGCTTTCATGCTAAAGATGTGCTATCAAACAT